TTATTAGAGGTAACCAGTGTATGTTAATAACAGGCCAATTGCCTACACATAACATAAACAGTTCATATGAGAGCGGCTTATCTGACGGCCCCATTTCACTCGCAAAGAGATACACTGTCAAAAGTGAAAATGGACGTTTTTGATTTTTGTCTTAATAATGAGTAATTGCTCCACCAATCCTCAGACATTCAGCAATTCGTCGTGGCATGCTCCTAATCAACCGTCCAATCACGATTTGCGGCAATCTGACCCACTCCTCTTGTAGTGCCACGGCCAATTCTTACAGTGTTGTCGGTTGACGTTGACGTCGACGAACACGTCTACCGATCAAATTAAACGTAACACACTAAAGCAAATGCAAGAACCGATAGGAAAGAAAACATGAATAGGATAAACCAACAAGCGGCAGTTTTCATCAACCCTTCCTTGAAGTGTCAGATTTTATAATGAACCCCTCCCACGTGTATGGCGCTATTGCAGCTCAGTGGTTCTGTTGGGGCGATAAGTTCTTGATCTGTGAACATACTCTCAAAGTATGTCAAGTGTCCATGACTATTTATCATATCAAAACCTGCATAGGTATTTGCATTTCAATATCCCCTACTTTTTTTGAAGAGTATATAATTTTAATTTTGATTTTGATAGTACTATAATATAAAGCAGAAAAATAAAAATAGGACGTTAAACACCATTTGATTTTATTATACATCTATCCGGTAGAGTAATGTATAATCATTATTAGTGTAATAAATAATAAAGTTTATATATAGATACTAATACAATGATTATCATAAGCTGATTATTAAATACTATAATTCATGTAACAGTTTTAGTGTGGTTATAATCGGCTCATATGAGAAAACATATGAGACAAAACACTCATATTAATACTCATGTTTTAAAGTGGCATTATTGTTTAACATATCATTTTTCTTCACCAACCGAGCTAATGAAGATGGGCATATGCATAGCGTGCCACGAAGAAAGTTTTGTCTGGACAGCTGAGTTACGGCCAACATGTACACTTGACCTCTGTTTTACGCCCCATTCGAGCGACTACACACTGTTCCTTGCTAAGCCATCCGTCGTACACCATGAGATCCCCTACACTATGCCCACTGAGTCACCGCAGCCGCCAGAGAAGGGAGAAATGACCAAGTAAGATGAGGGAGATGAAATATAGGCCTCTCAACACTAAAAATCTACTCCCTAAACCAGGCCTACGAAATGGTCTACGAACTCATGACTGAAGTCGGTCTAAGTGGAATAGTGAGGAAGGGCGTATGTCTAGGCAACCAAATACGAATAGAGATGTAAATAGGTTGACATAATGCATTCTGTAATATCTACTACCTACTGGGGCAACTAACGCAACACGGTCAACTGAGCCCATTATGTTTTGTAAAATAACAGAAGGAATTCCAACATACAGGTCACGAATGGAATGATTATCAAATCATATTCTAATAACAGTAACAAGTTTTTACTTCTTGTCTACGATATGACTGCCGTGCGACTGACTGAGAGCAGTCGTTAGACTTTAGAACTCTAAAAGAAAGAAGTTACTAGTCAATATCCATAGTGAATGAATATCGACAAAATAATCATTATATCTTACCCGCGGTGATAAATAAACATCTACTTCTTGATGATAAGATGGAGATTTCGACATCAAAACACCCACTGTTTTATTGTTATAAAAATTTCCATCGGACATTCTTTTCAACAGTGTCTTTTTAAACTGATGTCTCTTCAGATCGGGAGTGTTGTCCAAAGAATTGCACTGTTTCTCACCTGCAACACTCACCACGGGGAGTTCCCTCACATTCGAATCACTGTTGTGTTTCGTCGGCTCGACAACTTTTTGGTTTTTGTTTTCTACTTTCGTCCCATTTTTGTCTTTCAAATCACGTCGCCTTGCATTAGAGCTGCAAGGCCTATCCGATAGTTCGATTTCACAGTTTGCCTTTCTTGACACAAACAAATCTTTTATAAAACTAAGAGGTCCACGTTTGTTCCTGGTGCTGCTGGTTAACTGACTTTTGTTCTGCCCGTCGGTCTCCTGCTCGCTGTGTTTGGTTTCGTAGCCAAGTTTCTGTTCCAAAAGTCTTTGGCATTCTGCCGAAAATATAAGAATAAACAAATCATATAATGCTTGGTGAAAAACCCTGTAATCCACAAAGTATTTCGTTATATTGGGTTAATAGTTTTGCTCTCATAGTTTATAACACTAGCTCCTTAATTCCTAATACCTCTAATTCTTATTGTAGTACCTTTACGTAATCATTGGCATAATATATACTTCACTCTATACGCTTTGATAAACATAAAAGTCATATTGAGGTAAGTCATTAACTAAGTTATGGTGAATAAATGAAACGAAAGAAGTTTAATATACGGTCAAAATATATTTATTGAACAACAATAAACGGTTAACGAGGCCACATAACAGATGACAAAATGCTCATTAATTAAAGGGTCATTATGGAAGAATATATAGAGAGTTGAAAATTTCATTCAAATTTTAGGCTAGCATCGATCATCATTACTAAAGTCGGTACGATTATCCAATTTTACGTTTAATTATATTTCAAAAATTGTATTCCGATCCGCTAAATATCGCAGGCTATAGCGATGGCATCAATAGTTGATTATGGTCTGGATAAGTTATTAATGTCTAATTTTAATCGTTTATATATCATTTCAGGCCTAAAGAAAGACCTTGAATAAAAACATTTAACTCTTGCATAATGTGTTTTTTAACGTGTCATTTAGATAATAATTTAGAAGATAAGAACAATAAGAGTAGGTTAGATAAAATCTTGATCTCGATGTTAGCGGGTACAAATCACATAAAAAACATAAAGTCATATTTATATTTCCAATATTTTTTTTACTCATAATTATGGCGTCGCCAAATCTATAGAAACTAAACGTCAAATAACCCGGTAGTGCTGTTTTATTTGAAACATTTCGGGTGTAATATTTTTGGGGGGTTATTGGTGACAGAGTTTCGGTACCTAGATGTGACCAACATGTCACTGACGATGAAATTAAAGGCACAACAAGCAATATTTTTAACATGTCCCAAAAGTTAAACTATGGTGTTATAATGTAATTATAGACACAGCGAAGTATAAGTAACCTTCATAAAGAATGGACTGCCGTATACGACCTTATACACATACGATGAAATTAACAGAAATCAATATAAACTTTAAATAGTCGATGTAAATACTGTTTCCACCAAAACGGTTTTAAATAAAATAACTTTCGTGATGATCTTACAGTTAATACTAGGCCTTTGTTGTAACGTGTTCGGTTGAAAGTTTTAATAGCAACGCTTGTCGTCGGATGAGAGGTTTTCAGTATGGTTAATATTTACCTATATGGCCAGATTGCCGTGTATAATCTAATGGTGTACCACCTTCAGCATCGACAGGATTAGGCTTCACATCAAGAGATAACAACAGATTCAAACAATTTATCATACCCATGGCTGCTGCCCAATGTAATGGTGTCCTACAAAAATACATAAACTTAGATAGTAGCTATACCAAGTGACCATCATTAAATGCCCACAAGCTGTGTACAGCACAGGAGCCTGTAACATGGAAAATATTTCAAAAAACATTTGGCCCTTGCTATATGACTAATTGTAATGTCTAATGTCTATTACGACCATGTGGTCTGCATCCGATTTCTAATTCAAGGGCACATAACTCGCCTAAACAGATTCTCTTTCAGTGGATATAATAATACCAAGGTGAGAAACGGTTGGAATTAAATAATTGGTGTCAAAGTTCACTACTTTAGATTCCGTCAAACAGTGGCAATACTCACTAAATTTCGCCAGGTTAGACAATCGAGTCTACAATGACGTTTTAAAATTATCCACGTGACCCAAAGTCCCAAGCGTAACCAGGAAGGTATCGTCGAAATATCCCAAAATACAATATGATTATCCCTTTTTTTTTAGCTACAATCCTTTCCAATCAATAATCAACAGTACCTATATTTTTTTTAGCTGCAATCCTTTCCAATACAAAAGTTAAATTTAACGTCAATTAGAACAATATTTATTGATAACGATTACAACAGTAAGTTACACTGTGAAGAGCTTTTGACAAGATTTCACAAGCTGTTATCGAACGAAAATATAGGATACATAAATAAGATAGTCACACAAAGCGCGGAAATACGCCCACAGCAGCAGCCATGTCTCAACCGTTCACAAGCCAAGAACAGGGTGACGGCTTTATAAGCCCAAATGAAATAAGAAAAAAATAATATATTAGTATAAATTATAAAGGTCCATTCAATATTTATAATAACTCAACAATAAATCTGCGAACCTGTCATCGGGATCTTCTGGTTCTAAATCACATCCAGGATAAACATGTAGAGCCTTGATGATATCAACATGTCCTGCTGCAGCGGCAAAATGTATGGGTGTTTTACCTGAGAGATCAACTGAGTTGATTAATAACAAACCATCAGAATGGGATGCCAATTTAACACAACATTCTGTACACCCATTCTGAAATAAGAAAATTAGGAATAGAAGAAACTATGATTGCCCGGTGTCATGTTGAGAGGGAATTTAACGTCCACTCGACACAAACTAGGTCATTTCGGGACTAACATATGGTTCAATTTTGTTTTAATTATTCGCTTGCGCGTAGGGGTTTTTAGCAGTGGGGGGAAACCGGAGGACCCGGAGAAAACCCACGAGGTTGGACAAGCGATCCTACTCCTTGTCGCATACAACCGGGAATCGATACCACTCCAGTTGACTCAATGACATACCTTATGATATAGCACGCATGCGCTAACCATTCGGCCATCCAACCCCTTACACTAAAAGGAGTATATCGATAGTTTCTCTCGAAAACACGATTTACAACACTGGTCGATATGCCAGTTTAAGGAATTTTCTAAAGATAAATAAAATGAAATGGGGTTGAACGTTCTACATTTCTGTTCCAAACGGGCTAATATCACATGTAGTATAATGGTACCTGAGAAGCCCAGTGTAAAGGTGTTTTACCATCTATATCTTGAGCGAATATATCGGCACCTTTCTGCACCAGTAATTCCATATGTTGTGGACGATTGTGAAAAGCTGCCCAGTGCAAGGCGGTCATCAACTAAAATAAACCATATAACACACTACAGTACCACCCGACTAGATTTTATTACATACTTCGAGAAGGTATTTGTTGAGTAATAAAACCTTCTAGTAGTTTATGGAGGGCTGGCCGTCCTTACCGCACGGTACAAATAAAACCTTCTAGTAGTTCGGGTGCTTCCGGAGTCCAAAATGGCCGCTTTATATAAGTGAGAATTTTGGGGATACCTAACCCGAACCCTAACCCTTTTTAAAAGACTGAACTTGGGTCTTATTTAGTTTTTAATTCTCTTAAAAGGGTTAGGGTTAGGGTTCGGGTTAGTATTCCCCTAAATACTCATTTGTATAAAGCGGCCATTTTGGTATGAGTTCTGACTTGTTCTGGAATTTGTTGCTTCTAGTGGTGATAATATTTGTACCGTGCTGTAAAGACGGCCAGCCCTCGATAAACTACTAGAAGGTTTTATTACTCAACAAATACCTTCTCGAAGTATGTAATAAAATCTAATCGGGTGACAGTACAATATAAATGTATACTTTCAGTTTAATCAAAGACACTAAGTTTTATTTTTAAAATAGTTTCTATTCTGAGCAATTATTGTTTATTATCTAATTACCTCGGTATCGGGTTTATTGACCTCTTCTTGAGTTAACGTTTGTAGCAACACTGTCATCGTGCTGTTCAAAATATAAATTTAAATACTCAGTTAAGCAATAATATGCGTACTTTTATTTCTAAGAATAATAAATACTCGTAACAAATGGTAACTTTCAGTCTCCTAAAACTCAACTGTTCACGACCTATTCCTAATATGTTCTACTACTTTTTTTTAGAGATTGAACACACCGTGCTTGACCAGTAAAAAAACGGACAATTTTCTTAATAGGAAAAAAATTAATATCAGAAAATGAATAAAATTCATCCCCATCAATCTGTTAGTTTTAAGTAGGTGCACGGGGTATTAAGGGCCATGTCACACCACTACGATTTTTCGATACGATTCACTACGACTTGAACATTTTGGATAACTGTGGATGTCCTATGATATACGATATTTACAATAACTGTAATCGTTCTTGCGTGGTTGATCGGTGACCTTAACTGTTTTATCTCCGTCATCTTGGGTCGTAGAGCTGCCGCAATGAACGATACTAAACCATTTGAGGCATCCCTTGGTATACTACCATGGGTTTATTTTATGTAAGATAATCCTGTAAATCGTGGCATAGAGTATCGCCCCATCCCCCTCCCGCGCCTTCAAATCCAATTGCACAAACCCAAGAATCAAGAAACGTGAAATAAAGACATTCTGGGGTCATTTATATGGATATTTACCTTGTGCTTTTATCATATGTTGAAGCATGAAGAGGAGTTCTCCCTGATTTATCTACTATCTGATGTTTAGCTCCATGTCTTAACAAATATACCACACCTTCATGCCACCCCTACAAAATATTTAATATATCTATTATTGAGATAACGGCAATAATGTTCAATCAAAATGCCAATAATACAATATGCTCATAACGGTCCCATCAGATTAATGCCTGGTACTAGACAACCAATTTTAGTCTTAAAAATATTTATAAACGAAATCTATATTGCCACCGATAATTTCAATAAACGATATTGCACTAATCCAAGATTCCGTATAAATATATGAGACAAGATATATGTATTGTGCACTAAGTATTAAATTCACCCCGTGTGCGTCTAGGGTTAAGTTTGTGGATAATCCTGAAGACAATTTAAGCGGAATTTGACAGAGGATGTTTAATTCAGACCTAAAGTTAGCAGCACATAGAGTAATTTATAGTGGACTGATAAAATTCAGCTTAAATAACCATCACTTACTTGATAGGCAGCGATAGATAAAGATGTTCTACCAAATTTATCTTGTGCATTTATATTAGCTCCCATCTTTACTAGTTGTTTTATAGCAATTAATTGTTGAGCTTGAGTGGCAGTTCCTAGTGGAGATAAGCCTGTACAAATAAAAGAAACGATACATGCCATAGAAGATATGTTTATACTAAGTCTTTTAATTAACTGGTAATTTCAGAAACATCCTAAAATAAAACGGGGTTACTTTCATAATATGCATAAATATGCTTATATTCAATTGGAAAATCGTACAGTAAATATTGTGGCCATTTTCACCTTAAGAAACGTTCGAATCATGAAAATGGACATCTGTTATCAAACTGAACGTTGCTTTTTAAAATAGCCTAACTCACTAAGGTGGGAATAGGGAACCTTTTCGTTGAGAAGTTGATAGGCTGAGGAGGAGCAGTCTTTAAAATAGCTGTCGACAACTTACTTTGTACATTTGTGTTTATGTCATTCCAATTAAGATTAATTGTGCTGTTTAATAATGGTATTAGTTTTTGTCACATATTGCGGGGAAATAATGCTACCAGATATACTTCCTTGTTCAGCACTTAGCCATTGTTACCAGTTGATGCTTCTAACATTCCTTCGTCGGCTTAAGACTAATCTTCACACGGTGGCATTCGGTGCTATTAGGACGACAATGTCCAAAATAGCTTATCAGTTTCATTATTGGTGTTGCAGACTAGAGGGCAATAACTCGAATTTTAAACGAATGGAAACAGACCACTATCGTTTTCTCAACAGATATGAATGTTTGTTCGAATAAGTTGCTGATCATCTTCAATAGAAAGTTTGATCTCGCTTTAACTCCGTACACCTTATCAAGCCCTTCACGTAATACCCTGTATATTTAGGCACTAATTTAGGTTGGCTACTGGTCAGATGGGCGTCTATCAGATTCCTCGATCATCGCGAATGCCAAGTCTCGAGCTAAAATGTCTAATTGTGATAATCGAGTTTGTTCAATATAAAGGTTTCCGTTGAGGTTGCCATGATTGATTTGAGATTGTTTGTGTCACAACCTCCGATTGGAGGCTATTGTTCATTCAATGTCAAGGTTTCCGTGGAGGTCGCCATGTTTGATTTGAGTGTGTTTGTGTCACAGCCTCCGACGTGTCTGCGTTAAAGGGAGATAGCGTGGCAGACGTTGCTTCATAAACGTGGTTGCTGATAACTTTGATCTGAATGGAGTCAATTTCCCCTAGCATCGCAGTTTCTTTCTCTGACTAACTACATCCGATAACAGCAGAAGGCAGAAATAATAGAGGTTTTTTTATCTGTGTATTTATCTGTGTTCAAAACTGATTTGAGAGAACTACCTTCTTCGTTTTGAAGTTCTAACATACTTGGATCTTGCCATATTGCCTCTATAAGTGCAGGTATTGCACCTTGTGCTGCAGCCTGATGTACTGATGGTAGATCGACTTCTTCATTTTCAATGCCGCCTAAAATAAAAAGAATAAATAACATACTTCACTGAATGTTTCTGCGTCACTAGATGTCACAGCAAACAACTCATTACGTGATGCATGTAACTTTCTTGTGTTATTGTTAGTAATACTAAAATATGTATGATATAGTTGACAAGGGAATTGTGTCACAAACGAGAATCCAAATTATGCTAAAATCTTTATACTAAAAGATGTATGATTTAATTGGCGAGGGAATTGTGCCTCAAAAGAGAATCCAAGATGATGTTGAAATCTTAATACTAAAAGTTATATGACTTAGTTGGCGAGGGAAATATACCCCAAAAGCGAATCCAAATTGTGGAAATAGAAAATCATTAGAACGCATTTGAGAGTCAAATAATATTATGTTGTATTCAAACATTTGTTGGCACCGTATCAGTTACATATCGACAGACGAATCTCTTTCTTCAAATACACAATCAATTTAGTTATATCATAAACATTTTCATGCATATTGATCTTTTTATTCATGTTAAGTTACAGTAGAATGTACAACGCCCGGATTTGGATCTAAATCTAAAATGTTCCCTGAATTCGATTAATATTCACATCTTTAATTTATTTCTGCGTAATGGTTATGGTTAACAACTGGTACAAAATAACGTTTGGGGGGTATTTGTGTTTTGTCTATATAAAGAAATGTATTTTAAGACATATTTTCAAGACATATACGTATAACAAACTTCGAACAAAATCAAATAACAATGTGAATTCAGATAAACAACGACATACTTGCCTTTCAGGCACCTCCAGTAGCGGATTCTTTTACCCTCGAATACAAATTTAAGATTATGGACGCCTTTGGTATAAATATTGGAAAATGATTATTATTGTAAGATGTTGAATAAAACTTGAATGTACCAATATCTCCAAAATAATAAGAATATTCCTTCTCGACTTGATATACAGTGCATTAACAACTTTCTGTCGACTCTGATAAATACGATACACCTGCTAACATATCTATGAATGGTTATATAGATATATATAAGCTAATAATAATAGGGCTTATTATACAATAGCAGACAGGTTAATTACAACTAATATTTTTGTTAAGGCGTTAGATTTCTATTGTTGTATACTAATAGACACGCATGTGCTTGATAATAGCTATATATTCAGCAATATAGTTTCAGCAATTAAAGGTTTCTAAAGTAAGAATTATAACACGATCTAGATTGTTAAGACAAAAGAAACTGGTCATGTTATTAAGGTACTTAAAAATTAACAAAATGAATAACTTTAAAGAATGGGCGTAAAGTGTAAACCAAAGTGGTAAAATACCGAAGGGACGACTTCCCCGTATGGATCTCAATTTTCAAAAGATGATTTTTTTTTTAGTGTGGGTGGTAAAACGGGGTGCATTTTCGATACTGGATAAGTGTAAGAGAACCCATTATGCCTCACACAGCTGGTTATCTGTAGTGAGTTGTATTTTACGGGTGCGACAATTTACCCAATACTACCCAATACCACCCGAATATCACTCCAATATCACCACGCACTACCCAATACTACAACATAATGGTACAAAATGAGCATATTAATTAATTCATTTCAAAAATAGTGAGATATATCGTGGGAAATGTGCTTCAAATGTGATTACCGATGTCGGGCTGTTCCATTTGCCTCCCTATATCACCCAAATCAAGCAAATAATAACCCAATACTACCAAATACTTAACAAATACTACCAAATACTACCCAATATTATAAAATACAAACCTAATATCACCAATTAGCAGCACACCAGTATAATAATTGCAACGAATATTCGATAATATGAAGAAAATTGAAATATTTACGCAGTTATCTCCCTTTACAACCGATAAACAGATGAATCATATTGTTGGGCTTTGCAGTTTGTTTCCAAGACGACGAAGTGAAAATAAGGAAAACAAGTTGTTATAGATGACCCCGCTATAGTTTATTCCTCCAATATTACACGTTAAAAGCTTATAAATATATAACATAACATAAAATAAAAAGAGTTTTAAAAGAAATTAACAAAGATTTAAAAACGCATTAAAGTAAAATCAGTTTAAAAAAGAATTATTGGGCATGATATGTCAGGAAAGCACACGAATTTATCTTTACATCTGTCTTTTAATGACTTATTAACGCGTATCCTTTGTCTTTTAAATGATTCCGGTTCCAAACTAGGCGCCTTTGAAAAATCTCCTCTTGTCAAAATTTCACCAATTCTTCGAATATTGTCAATATTGGACAAATTCTAATTATTCTACGGTATATATCCACAGGCGATTTCATTACCACCTAAATGAATAGACACGGTCTCCAGTTTCCTCCCACTGCTAAAGACCTCTATATGCGCAAGCGAATTATTGAAATATAAACCCAAAATGACCTAGTTTGTGTCGAGTGCACGTTAACCCCCCCCCCTCTCTCTCAAACTATAGAGGAATGGTTTATTGTAGCACCATAGGTCTTTTGTCTGGCGTGGAGAGCGGGCGATCATAAAAACCGGTCGCCACATCCTACATACGACCCATGCATCTTTTCTTACTACATATTTCTGTAGCCTTGTGATCGTTTCAAATTTGTCTCTAAATGTCTTTACTTCTGCTGCACGTTGTGTATTTACTTCTTACTGTTTTCTTAAGACGTTTGTCTTACCAGGAATAACAATGCAACAGTTCGCTTCTACATTTTATATAGCATAGCCGAATACACGTATACAAGCACAGATTACAATACTAGCTAAAATCATTTCTCCACCCTAGCCAGCCTCGCGGCTGTCTAGGAACTCAGATGGAACCTCTCTGGAATCTAATGGAAGTCTATCTTAAAAGTTTACTATGATTTCTTTTATAAGACTCATGCCTATCACGCACAGAATGCCTGTTCATGGCCCTGAACCTGTGCAATTTCTGATATGATTGGTTAAATTAAGCCAAATGATGCAATTAGAATAATTCCACTCCCGTGTAATCTCGTGGTATTTTATTGACACATGTTTTGGCTAAATAACTCTTTTTATGTAACAATATGTCATTTATACCCTAAATTGATTTAAGTCCAAACTATATATAATATATATGTGAATATGTGTGAAACTATTAATTTGCCAAATATATTAATTAATGAAATATAAAGTCATCTTATTTCTCTATTCTTTGTCTATAAATTTAAAAACAATGTCGCCACGACTATATTGCTACATTATTTACCTTGTCTCAAAATTTCAGCTCAAAATATTGAGTCGTTTGGACATGAACGTCAAAACTGCTTATCCGGACACGTAACCCTTTTAAGATTTCCGGTCACCTGATAATCGAATCCCGTCCCCTTTGAAGTCTATACAATGAATGACCCGTGTGCTGTACTTGATAATGAAAGATAAATTTCACCCACACATTATTTTTATAAAATAAAAGTCTAGTTTTATCCAGACACCGCATAATACAGCTCGGGACATCGATCTCCATTTCCAGATGAAGACTGACGGGTTTAAGTTGTTTGAAAACGTATCACATATATTGAGTTCGTTGCTCCACCCTAAGGAAGAGGATTTTAAGGGAATTTAACACAAAATTAAACAGTTTTATTCTCGAAAATATTATCGGGATTGGCCCTAACACTTAATCAACGGGGTTAAGTTTGTTGATTGGGTAATCAAGTTCAGGTTTATTTATATTATCAAAGAAACAGACTGTGCTGTAACAGGCCGCAAATGATAGTTTAATGAACTAAGAAGTGTCGCGTCTACCATTACACACTTGAAAGAAACATGTGCAATTTCGTTAATTTTAAAATAAAATAATGTGCAGTAAGTAAATATGCAATAACATAATAGTTGACATGAAAAAATGAATTTAAACATTATGCAGTTTCTTTTGTTAAAGCATTAATTTTTAACAAAAAACAAACAATCGACACTAACTAGGTAATTTCGGGACTGACATATAGTTCAATATTATTTCATTAACTCGCTTGCGCGAAGGGGTGTTTAACGGTGAGACGAAACCGGGGGACCAGAGAACACCCACCTTAACAATTGTTTGACAGACGAACCCACGCCTTGTCACTAACAAGCGGTAAGAGAGAGGTGGGCCATTTTGGGAATAAAATATGGTATATGGTTACCTGTTTTTCTTATTTTAAACTTTTCGTCATGGAAACCAACTGCGAAGCCAAAGAAGATGATTAATCTGAGTAGCAATCTAAAATCTATTTATCGGTTGTAAAGGGAGATAACTGGGTAAACATGTCAATTTTCTTCAAAATATCGAATATTCGTTGCAGTAATTATACTAATGTGCTGTCATTTGAAATATTAGATTGTTATTTGATCATATTGGGTAGTATTTGGTCGTATTTGATGAATATTTGGTAGTATTGGGTTACTATTGGCTTGTTTTGGGTGGTATAGGGAGGCAAATAAAACAGACAGACATTAGTATCGCATTTGAAGCACATTTCCCGCGATATAACTCTATTTTTGAAAAATAAAATCAAATGATGTCTCTATTTTGCATCATTATGTTGTAGTATTGGATAGTATGTGGTGATATTGAGGTGATATTGAGGTGATATTGGAGTGATATTCGGGTGGTATTGGGTAGTATTGGGTAAATCGTCCAACCCGTAAAATACAACTCACTAGGCTTCAGATAACCAGCTGTGTGAGGCATAATGGGTTCTCTTACACTTTTCTAGTGTCGAAAGTGCACCCCGTTTTACCAACCACTCTAAAAAATTCATCTTTTGAAAATTGAGATTCATACCTCATGACAGTGAACTCATCAATGCCCAAATCTTCACACAAAAGAATAAGTGTAAGAGGCGCTCTAGATGAGTGATGATTTTATTGCCCTTTTGCGAGGTAGAATGAAGTTCTTGTACTGCGTAGTACTGCATATTTACTCATGTGATGTGATATCAACGTGTTTTTCCTTTTTACTATTGAACCGCATTGTTACTCTTTAAAATAGGAAGATTTATTTGTCCAGGTGAATAAATCCATTACTATATACTATATCTTCTCATTAGAACATATAAAACACAAAAAAAATCTTTATAAACGCTCATATCTCCTATTCAATAATAGCTTCACAAAAGCCCCACCAACGTGTTCGGATTCTGATAACCCTCATTCCCAAAAGAACTGAACAATGCTACTCGAACTTTGCTTTTACAATACGTTGCTAAGATCATATTTATATCAGAGCGCAATTCCCAGATGCTTTTCCTAGTATCGATGTAAAAAAGAATATATTTTTATTTATATTTATTGTCGTAACTAACCAAACCTTTCTTTCTGTCAATAAAATATAACATGTCTTTAATTTGTGTAAAGTTTGAATGTGTCTTAAAGACATGTTATAAATAATATATAATATATAATAGGCAACCAAAAACTATATTTTAGATCGAGTCCCCTTCCACCATTGATTGCAACATATGATACTATTGATAAAGAAATCTTTCAATACTCATTATTAATATGACGAATGACGTAAACAAGTGGAATCGCGACATTGAAGTAAAGTTACACGGGATTATTGATGAGGCAATCTAATTACTTTTGATTCGTTTATCAGTGCTTTTGTGAAGACTTAACTTCTTCCCCAAATTATTAAACTTAACCCTAAATTTTTACAATCTTAATCTTAACCCTATATTCCATCTCCAACAGAAAGTTTGATTCTCGAACTATTGGCAAAAATCACGAAATACAATCACGTTTTGTTACACATACATCACGACGTTTCGACAAGTATTCTTTTATCATTCTGTAAATGTGTAAACCCACCAGTGATGGTTTTCCGTATAAATTCTGTTGTGTTTTTATTGTCCCCAATCTTCAAATGCCACTCAATGATTATACTTTCTATGATTATACTGCAACAAGAAAAAAAATAAAATAAAAAAAAACAAAAAACGATGCGTCACTCCCGGCCATTATATTACTGATACTACCTAATTAACCCGATGTTCATGTTTAAACAAGCAATATGTACCTCCAACCTGTCACTATAAATTAACTTTGTTATCTTTAATAAACACCATGTCATTTCATATTGATTACAGGTTTGGTTCCTAACATCCTGGCGTATTGTCCATCATCATTTTCCTTAAACATGTAGAACTTCTTCCATAGATTATCTTACTGATAGAATATCACTTCAGCTCATCATATTTGATCTCAGTACGAAAGCAATTGCTCTTAAGCGTTGAAAATTTAATAAGGCCGTTGACCTTAATTATATTAAGCACTTCTAGTTAGTATACAATATTAATACCAATAACAGTATAGTCACAACTATCCAGGTCATACATTTTTTTAAATCAGAAAGCAACCGTTATTTATCAGTGACAAGAATCAATTTCTGAAATAAAAGTCCAAACTCAAACCATCAAATTAGCAATTGATACTACAATATTTGTTGTTATTTTGTATTTTGGAATTTGTATAACACTGCACGCCATTATGCTTCGTGTAAACATTATTTGGGATATTTCTGTTTTGCAGCTTTGGCAAATTTCTGTTATAATTAAGTCCATCACAGACAGATAAGTTAAGGCGTAGGGGCCTGAAGAACATTCGGTAGCATGCCCTTCTGACAGTTGGCAGCATATTCGATGAATTCTATAAAGTACGTTTTAAGTTTTGTCACAGGAATGGGGACCAGTGGATATGCCATCTTCCCCTCCCAAACACAAGCCCTCGCATCCAAACTGCTATCTGTTGAACATTGATCTAGACATATAACCAAAGAGGCAAAGAGCTCATATACACACGAGGTAACCGAATCTACCATTGTAGGGGAATATACCTACGCTAATCAACGATGGCGGTTCTTAAACATATCGCTCTATCGTGTTCTTTTGTGAATCGTACCCACATGCAAATTTCTCTCGAGAAAGGTGGGGTGGGGTAGGGTGGAGTCTATTTTAAGACGGTCTCTATCAATAAATGCCGATATCTGTGTACATTGGTCTGGGAAATGTGTACTTAGCATATCGACTCGACTTAGCAGGAAGGGTACAAGTTATATGTGTTATAGTCGGTTCAGGAATAAAACCCCCGACCCGATAAGTAGGCCGACTAATAAAACATGCACGTACTTAAGAAACCCTAAACACTGAACAGATTATGGTGTCCTGATATTTATAAGTCAAAATCAAGGATTGTACACGTGTATTTCCACGTGCAAAATCATTTTAGATGGCATGGATTTAGTTCTTGCTACACGTACTCATTCTAAGAGAGCTTGTAATATCTTGGCAATATGGTGATTTAATCTATTCCAGGCCATTATTCTTAATGAAACTTCTTAATTGATTCCAACCTCCCAATATTCCTCAATATTCATCAGATCTTGTGATACTAGACCTATATATTGATTGGGGGAATATACCGAACACACACCCTCGACTTAATTGGAAATGTTATTATTTTATAATCGGGAGGCAAATCATCTTATGTGAATATGCTCTTGTCAACCATTGATAATTGATACATCACGCAACGTTAATTGTTTTACTCGCCCTCAAGGCCAATGCCTAATTATTGTTTCTTCCGCCGTTATGTAGCCTAGTTTTACTTAAACCAAATACATTGACATTAGCCCTATATTAATATATAAGACTAAAGGAGATAATATAAAGTCAATTTTTACACGAATCTCGGTAAGTTTACGTCAGTTATTATCGTTTGTTTATCAAATAGGATGCGACAGATCAATACCAGACTGAATTGAGAAGCAGATCCATCGGGCGAAGCCTACTGCTTGTGTAAGGTGACACTAAACTTACCGTAATCGTCGACATCTCTATCTGAAAAATCCATCTTTTGCTTACAGTTATTTAATCATAACAAAGTCTTTTATATGGAGTCACTGGTTATGTTTTGAGAATTTCTTAAAAGTAACAATGCTCATCGTCTGCTCGCAAAAGGGAAGTGACGTTTTCCAAACAGACACTGCGGTGGCGAGCGAGTGCCTGCACGCGCCCTTCTCAGGTATGATGCATTTGTTGACAGGTAGTTTTAGAGTTATCGATCCTAGTGAAGCAAGCGGGTTGACAAGTAATTAGACACACTATTGATTCATAGCTGACATGATAAAGTCAACGATTAGCTCAAATTAGTCTTGTGAAGAATGACAGGTCGCTGCGCAAAATGACGACCACTTTTCTTTTGATGTTGTCCAGGCTTGAATGGTTTAAAGAAGTTCGTAATAGGCGAAAAGATGAACATTTCTAAAATCTCTTACTCGTGGTTTTCCTCCGGTCTCGCCTCGCTATTAAAGACGCCGAAGAGCATACGAATTGTCAAAATAAAAATATATACGAAAATTCTAATAGGCGAAAAGATGAACATTTCTAAAATCTCTTACTCGTGGTTTTCCTCCGGTCTCGCCTCGCTATTAAAGACGCCGAAGAGCATACGAATTGTCAAAATAAAAATATATACGAAAATTCTAGAGCTTTGTCATTGAATAGACACTGCATCCTGATCCTCAACGCGTGAAGATCAAGATATTTAATTTACATTCGAATTTGTCAACTATAATACTATTCATTTCATAACACATGATTTTATTTTATAACATAATATATGTAAATAGATTTGTTCATAAATAAAAAAAATGGGTAGATTATAAATAATAAATATGAAATTGTATTTTATTATATGTATTACCGTTTTAGGCGTTTAAATAAATTACAAATTAAACTCAAATTGGTTTGAAAATTTATCTCGATTTTATCGAAAAGTAACGTTAAATTAGTTTTAGAAAAATATACTAAGGAACAAATTCATTTTTTGAATTGCAATTTTCTGAGACCTCATCTTCCGTACCCAGTTTCCCTCATCAGTGGATGTCGCAAATAAATATTACGCGCGTCTGAGATAACATTAGATAACAATAAATTTAAAAGGTGTTAGATCCACAATATAGCATAATAATTATATTAATATGTATCCATTACAGGTATGTGCATGGCGTCGTTCTATATTATGTATCAAAAGCAGAAAATAAGTCACGATCGATTGCGTAAACATTTAGTGCAAGTAGAATTTGTCCAATGTGCAATTTAAATTGTCAAGATATTTTGCGTGGAGAGATATAAGCATGTTTACACAGGACGTTTAATCATGTAGACTTCTTTGTACACCAATTGTAGATATTTTTCCATATGGAATCTATCGATTTGGTGTGTACCGAGAAAAAAAATATACCAGTTATATTAGACTTAAAATTTGTCATTACACTGCTATTGGTATCAGAGCACTTCTTATTCAAGAATTGATTCAGCTTCTCCTTCATCGTCAAATTCCTGGTCATCATCGACTACAGCATCCTGGTATTGTTGATATTCAGATACCAGATCGTTCATGTTAGATTCGGCTTCTGTAAATTCCATCTCATCCATACCTTCACCAGTATACCAATGGAGGAAAGCCTTTCTTCTGAACATAGCAGTAAATTGTTCTGATATTCTCTTAAACAGTTCTTGAATGGCTGTGCTGTTACCAATAAAGGTTGCTGCCATCTTTAAACCGCGTGGTGGGATATCGCATACCGCTGTTTTGACGTTGTTGGGGATCCATTCAACAAAGTAGCTGCTATTTTTATTTTGAACGTTTAACATCTGTTCATCCACCTCCTTCATGGACATACGACCTCTGAAAATAGCAGCCACCGTCAAGTAGCGACCGTGACGTGGATCACAGGCAGCCATCATATTTCTGGCATCAAACATTTGCGTGGTTAGTTCTGGAACGGACAGGGCACGATACGACTGGCTGTTTCTGGAGGTGAGGGGAGCGAACCCAGGCATGAAGAAGTGAAGACGGGGGAATGGTACCATGTTAACTGCCAGTTTCCTTAGATCGGCGTTTAGTTGACCCGGGAATCGTAGACATGTTGTGATTCCAGACATGGTAACCGAAACCAGATGATTCAGGTCGCCGTAAGTAGGCGTCGTTAACTTTAATGTTTTAAAACAGATGTCATATAAAGCTTCGTTATCGATACAGAAAGTCTCATCAGTATTTTCTACCAGCTGATGAACTGATAAGGTAGAGTTGTATGGTTCTACTACAGTATCTGATACCTGAAACGATAAATATAATTACATAGTTTACATGACTAAAAGGCACAACTAGACACCCGACTCTCATGGTCCCCCATGTCCCGAGTTCATCCTTTCTTAATCACAAACTTTTTGTCACGTACTTTAAAGTTCAAATAACAATATCACATGCCTGTGTTATTTTGATTTTTTGGAATTTTTTTAAAATCAGGATTCAAAAACGAATATCTACAATTCCAGAATCGGCATATATGCAGTTGAAAGGGCGAATTTAATTCCTGGAGATAATCTTACCCAAGGTTGGAAACATTAGTTAAGCTTTGATTGTAACGTTAAATCAAATTCAAATCCACTTGTTCCCTCATTTTTTTCCGTTGGTTGTGATACTAAGTACATAACCATCGACTGTAAAACATTACCATCCTCGCCATTGAATGTAAAACATACCCAAGTTCGCCGGAAAATATAATTGTTTTGGTAAAAACATCTTATTTTTCGAGATACTTCAAGGCAAACCCTTTTATAAATAGCAAGATAGCAACTGCAGACTGGTGGTTAACGCCCTGTAAGCATTAATATGTTTTATCTGGGTTATTACAATAATAATGATGAAATGCAACGGAATGAGGTTTAATGTCTTACTTTCCTGCATCGACTGGGATAACGAAGACGTAGCCCCCCCACCCCCTCACTCCCTCCCTCTCTCTCTCTCTCTCTCGTGTTAATGAGGTATATGGCATTTCACAGTATATTTACTATTTCGACCTGTTCACCAGGATTCAATCATCACCTATTTTTGTTTTGAATTATTACCAATTAAAAGTGATAATTAAATGCCTTGTAGTCTAGGAGAACCCCAATACCACACACCCAAATAAATAGTCATAGAACACACATCATACACATAAGACATTGTTAGTAATAAATGCGGTACTATCAGATCAAGTGAATGTTATTTTTTTTCCTTTAGTGTAGGTAGAATAGAAATTATGTTGCAGTTATAGGTATGCCATTCATTGGATCCTAATAGGTTCTTTACAGCCACAAGTGAATCCACGAGTATAACTAATGAAACCTAGAGAATATTCTAAAATGAGAAAGTCCCTGAAGCGAAATGTAAAATAGAGACAATAGTAATTGGATTTTCTTAATGGGGAAATTATCAGTTGGAATACCTAGTGTTCCGAACAAAAAGTAAGCATAGGCCTACCCTGCCTGCCACTCCCTAATGCCACCCCGTCACAAGTATAAAATACTGTTGTACCTTATAAATAGAGACCCATATATCAGTCGAATCCAGTCGGTTCCACTTATGTATTTTCAGCAAGGATGTTCCGGTAAGAGTATTTCAATAATATGTTAATATGGCTTTCTGGTAATATTCAGCTAAAATGTAAATATTCCAGAATATTGTCTAATGTTTTGTAGAATATATGTACCCTTTATTACTTGAAGTGTACTTAACATGTTTGCCACTCCCAGGTAAATTGTTTACTCCATGGTAGTTTCGTCTTATCTCACAGAGATATGTATTTAAACTGTTGCCAATGAGTATTTACCGTGATAATATAACCTTTACCTTCCCATACACTTTAACACGAATAAAACCAAAGACAAGCGTGTTTCCGTAAGTCAGATAAGCCAGTAACGTTCAACTCGTATTTGTCAAAAATGGTTCACTCAATCAAAAAGCTAAGATTTACACGTGACACAGTGCAATGTTTTCTGAACAACATATTTATGCTTTGTAAAGGAATGTCTTTCAAAATGTTCTAAGTCTGTCGTAAATGGTCAATATAGTTAACAAAATTTCGTTAGTTATCCTAGAGAAACTTAAAATACTGAACAGGGACTACTTTTTACTTGTTATTTAAATTTCAATGAACAAGCGAAAACCGATGGGATTTGGGCAACATATTGGTATATTGAATATCTTCTCTTTTTTTTCAAGAAAAAAATACTGACGCATTACGGATCTTTTGTTTGAGTCGTAAAACCATTTACTCAATTTAGGAATTTCCCAAATTTGTAACTCGTCCTATGCCTCAAAGAGCTATCATGCCAAATAAAAATTAATTATAGAATTGAAGACATCACACAGTAGTTCTAATCCAAATTCATTCAAATTGATCGATTCTAACATAAGTTATTCTTATTTAATGTTTACAATGGCTTTTATTCATGTCACACGACTCTATGTAGGTGTGTCTTAGACAAATAAAGTAATAACAGCTAAAGCAGTTTGAGGTGAGGGACTGAGGTGAGGGATATTGTCCGGATAGTAGCAATTTTATACCGGAGATGCTTAAACGCCCCTTCTCCCCTCATCCCTAAAGTTCTACGGACCTGTTAATAATTCTGTTACCCTGTTTCTACAACCCAGCTGATTTTCATACTCGAGTGTGTTCTATTACATACAGTGTCGCTACGGCCTACTCTTTTACGTGCACGCCAATGTGTACACTGCATCTAGGTTTTCGGTACCATTCAAATGACTAGATGCTGTCCTTGACGGGCCCTCCACCCTCATCACTGACACGGGGAAAGCAGACTGGAAAATTCCCGGTAACTTTCTCGGTCAACACCGAGACAGCGCATTACACATTGAGCCACTGCAGCTCCCTACTACTTTCAGTAACATAGACCGAAATTTACGTGGCTAAGTGGGTAAGACGCTGGGTCGCTAGCATTGGCCGAGAAAGTTCATCCAGATTTTCCGGCGTGGTTTCCCCTTATCAGTGATGCAGGACGGAGGGCATGACAAGGACAGCTGTCTAGTCGTTCGGATGGAACGAAAAACCGAGGTGCACATATTGGAGTGCACGTAAACGAACCCTTGGTGGTTGGAATTCGATATAAGAGTAGGCCGTAGCGCCGCTGCCCGGGCAAAATTTCCCTCATAGCACAATGTATGGCGTATGTCGTCTTCATTAGCCCAGTTTAGGAGCAGAACAGTAGGACGTTAAACCCCCATTTCATTTCATTTCATTTAATTTCATTTACATTCAAGTTAAATAAATTACCTTAGGAGATGGAACCACAGAAAATGTGTTCATAATTCGGTCGGGATATTCCTCTCGAATTTTGCTGCAAATAAGGGTACCCATTCCAGAACCTGTACCACCCCCAAGAGAGTGTGACAACTGGAAGCCCTGGATGCAATCGCAACTCTCGGCTTCTTTCCGCATAGTATCCAGAACTTGGTCCACTAATTCCGCTCCCTCGGTGTAGTGACCTTTGGCCCAATTATTACCAGCACCACTTTGACCAAATATGAAGTTGTCGGGCCTGAAAAGTGCTCCATAGGGACCGGATCGGATAGAATCCATGGTACCCGGTTCCAGGTCAACGAGGATCGCCCTTGGAACATATTTGGAACCTTGGCCTTCCTTGTAATAGACATCAATTCTTTCCAATTGTTGATCATCATCTCCGATATATTCTCCAGTTGGATCTATTCCATGTTCGGTTGAAATCACTTCCCAAAATTTGGTACCGATTTGGTTTCCACATTGACCAGCTTGGACGTGTAAAATTTCTCTCATTGTGGTTATTTGAGATAACTGAGTTAGAGATGGAAACCGTTAATAGAGTTGGACTTCACTTCGGGACAGAAAAGGTGGACTATGGGCTCGCCTCGAAACATTCTCCTAAGTTATAGTGTGAATTCAAGAATGAGATGCTCCAATGTAAATATCACGTCCAACCCTTGTGTACTTTCTAACGGTTGTTCAGAACACCTCTAGTCTTTTTGAGTAAATACGTTTGGGCGAGCAAAAAAGAAAGTTTGTATTTGTAGTCGACACGTAGTAATATGTTTTGGTAAGATAATGATACATATAAAAGAAGAAATTTAGAGTAATAAACACACAATGTATGATTTTAACACTGTATTAAAAAATGCTATGTTTTTAGTAAAATTATATATATATTCCAGAAAATTTTTTAGTCGTAGTCATATAAACCACTTAGAAATCGTCCCCCAAACTCAAAATAGTCATTTAGAAGGCCTCAGCCTAAATAGACACAGGAATGGTGTGCAAACTTGCAGTGTATTAGCATTTGGTACGTCATCAAGATAAAAGGTCAAAGTTTGAGTCACATCGACCGGTTTACCTCTAAATCTTTTACTTATAAGTGCATATCTTTACTGTTGCTATAAATAGCAAGACCATAAATTATATAACAATATTATCGAGCGCCTTAAAAGTCCCAACTTGTTAAACTTAAATCGACCACACGTAGCAGGACCATGATTAAATTTTTAATCAGAGCTATAAAAATTTATATACAGGTTTTTTTTCTAAAGAAACGACCATAGTGAGGATCATAATTTTTCCTGCAGGTACCGAATGACGAGGAAATGTTGAAATGTTGTGTACTGCTATTATACAATCAGCGAGTTTGATGTTTCCTATCCCATCCCCTTAGTTTTCTTTTGTTTTGTAAAATGAAATATACGAGACAACATTTGGTAGCCTCCCACCCCACCCCCTTCACGCAACCCTAAATCGCATAGTTGTACCACACATGCGCTCGTTGTCTTTTCAAATAAAGATATGATGCTTTAATATGGAAGATAACGAGTAATAAAAACGCCATCCATGGACTACAGCGTCCACTGCTGTTAGTAATGTTAAAAGTGTTAAAGGGCCAATCCCGATAATATTTTCGAGAATAAAACTTCTTAATTTTGTGTTAAAATCCCTTAAAATCCTCTACTCTACCGAAGGGCCGACCAACTAAACCAATATTTGTGATACGTTTTCAAACAACTTAAACCCGCCAGTCTTCGTCTGGAAATGGTGTTCCAAGCTGTATTATGCGATGTCTGGATAAAACCAGACATTTTTTTTTTATAAAAATAATATGTAGGTGAAATTTACCTTTCGTTATCAAGTACAGCACGTGGGTCATTCACTGTAAAGACCTCTCAAGGAACGGGCATCGTTCATGAGGTCACCCAATGAAAAATTTGACCCGAAATCTTAAAAGGGTTACGTGTCCGGATAAGCAGTTTTGACGTTCACGTCCCAACGACTCAATATTTTGAGCTGAAATTTTGAGACACGGCAAATACACCATTCCTCTACATTTTGGCGCTTAAATTGCATACGTACTCGGACTTTTATTTTTGAGACTTTGTTCAAATCGGGATAGGCCCTTTAAACAATTTCGATAAGTAGACCATCGTGTTTTTGTTTGGGAAGATTTTTATCGATCTAAGATTATAACGTCTTCTAAATACTAAGTCATATTAAAACATGGGTTTCCGGGGTGTTAGCACATGGGGCCACTGCCTGCTGTATGTAAGGAAGAGGGGGGGGGGGTCAATTGAAAGGATATTTTTACGGTATACCAGGAAAGATCAGCTGGTAAACTATTTCCTAAATTCATAACAGATAATTGTCTTTCTGCCCCCCCCCCCCCACACACACATGTGGCAGTGTGATCTCTCATGATTTTGTGAACAACATGTAATTAGATGGACATAGGTTACCATTAATTTCCCCATTCACTTTAATCTTAATTCTCGTCTCTTTGACCGGCTCTAACTGTCTCCCCAAATTTTTCATGAAGTTGAAAGCTTTTTAACACTATTGGGGCAACATTTGGAGACCTCTTGCTGAAAAGCAGGTTATGAGATACACCATGATGAAAATCTTGAGATTCACAAACTGAAAGTAACATACAACTGTCCGCCCTACAATTCAACGTAACTAACCCCTTAAGACTCTCATCCTTCAGCCTCAAAATCAAGAATGTTAACTAAAGCCTGCCAGAAAATAATATGTTCAAATCATTTTTTTTTTTTTTTTTTTTTTTTTTTGATTATACACCAGAAAGTCAACAGAAATCGCCATGCAGACAGGAGAAAAGGGGAAGAGAGAGAAGGACTAAAAACCTTTGGCACTAAGTATCACACCAGTCTCAAGGGCAGAGTTTTCTATTACAGACACGTTTCTGAATATTTGATCATAAATATATTAGATTGCTGTTATTTTTACTTGTTAAATTTTTTTATTTATCAAAGCCCAATTTGTTATGTACATTTCATATATATTTTATATAGTTGACAATGCGATAAAAGGCTTAACGATTATCAGTGATAAAGACCAAAAGGACATGGAGCTAGTCGAGAAAAACAGACTTGAACACTCAGAGCAATTATTTATGAGATCGTTCTCTTTCAAAATCATAATTTCTCGTCGATTTTGTGTGTGTAGATTTTTCTATATGCATTATTGCCTATGACATATATTTATCAATGATTAAGTGGATCGTCACTTTAAATGTAATCATTTAACACGGTTAATGAACATAGACCTTATAAAAGGATTTAGATACAGCTAAATGTCACGAGGAGATGGATTCTACATAAGTAAATATTTTGCTGAAGTTCAACGTTTTATTTGGGTGTACAGTCTGTTTACTTATAGTATTGTACGGAGAAAATGACTAGAATTTGAACAACATTGAATATTTACTTCATTAAGCGCTATTACTTTTCCATCTCGTCTACTTAAACATACATTATGCAATAGCTAAATCTGTTTATTGCAGGTCTTTCTTTAGGCCTGAAAAGTTATCTAAATTGTTAATTAGACATCAATTAACTTATCCAGACCATAATCAACTCTAGATGGCATCGCTAGCCTGCGATATTAAGTGGATTGTGAGCCGATTTACTGCATAACTTCCCTTCACGATTAAATGGATAATCGAGACTATGCTGTTTATTGTACTGACTTTAGTAATGATGACCGAGGCTAGGCAGACATTTCATTCGCTTAGTTCTCGGTTCACAGTGGATCAATTTGAATGAAATTTTTAGCAAATTCCCTTTACGTTATCTAGTTTTTAACTATCATAGTGAGAACTACCAACTCGTTATAGAATCTCCCATAAAGTATCTTTAATTACATCAAAAGAAATGCAACTGTCATCTGCAGGGGATAAGACAGGGAGATCCGTTACCTCCTTACTCTTTGGATATTGTGCCAATGACAGTAATGCAGAGTGGTAAAACAAAATAACCCAGAACGATCTGTTTTAGATAGATACATTACAAATTCGTAGGTATCTCATAATTAAATAGAAATATTTTTCTTGATCAAGTAAATCGGTTGAATTTAATAGGAAAATGTGATTGTATTATCATCATACATCTGTTCCACTTTTGTGCAATCGACCTAAAAATTAAATTAATCATCTTCAACAACTTCAAAATAGAGCAGCACGGATAATAACCAAGATTATAAATCAAACCCCCATATTTAAAGATTCACACTGGCTCCCAGTCCGCCAGCACATCAATTTTAAAATACTATCTATTCCGCTCTGTATAAACACCTAGACCAGAACCCTTCGATCACAATCAGAAAAACTCTTACTTAAAGTAGCTAAGTCTCTAACTCAATATCATCAAAAGTCTTCGACATTCAAAACACGAATTATTTGTCAACTTAAATCAACATTGGTTCTGAGATCTTACAGGGAAAAGATGGGCTTCTGATATCCAATATTCGAGACAAAATAAACATTTTGCCATTGGTACACGAATCGTGTACCATAATGCGTTTCAGCGCCATTTGGAACAAGAGACTCAAAGAACGAGGCTAGACATATTCCACAAGTCATGTCAAATGGGGACGCTATATTCTTATCTGGAGAGCATGCGCAATAAATACTATCGGTGTGGACTGGAATAACCAGACGCTAAAGATTATCATTTAATTGAGACTTATGGCGTATTTCGCCGAACATAAATGATTAAAAATTACAGTAAAAACAGAAACGATTGAATGTAAATCAGTTTATATACATCCATATTATCATATGCGTTGCGAGCCGTTTTTGTCGATTTCTAAGTCCCAAATATTAGCGATTTAGATCCTTTAAGTATTTGCTTATCTTTAGCGGTCGATGCTCTACAGTTATGGAATTCTATATCAAATCAAACCGAAAGGCAAATTCTATTAAAGTTTTTAAGAAATATCTCAAAACTGAAATAATAAATCAAATATACAACTGATTCAAAACTACATGTTTTAGTTGCACTGTCTCGAATTTTTAACGCTTGCGTTTTAAATCATATTTCTGTCACCTATGGTGCTTTTTTAATGTTTACGCTACGTTTTATATGAAGTTAATGTTTTATATTTTTGTCATTGGTTATTTTTAAAAATGTATCTATATAAAGCTCACGACAGCAGCTCGCTGAGTTGAATTATCGGCGCTATATAAATAATGCAGGCGCTATGTAAAACCATTACGAATTTGGAACCAGAATTCACAAAACTCACAGAGGCTCTGTAAGTGTGGCGTAGACTTACTAACTAGTAATTCCCGGAGGAGGGGGCCTAGCAAAGAAACCCGTTTAGTCGTTCGAATGGGACGAAAACAACGAGGTCCCGTGTATACCATTTACAGCCAAAATGTTTAGGGTTCGAAGACCTGGCTGTCCATACAAAATTCTCCTCGCTTTACACACATACGCATTAGTCTCATAATGATCGATGTTAGAAGTCTCATGTGGAACAAAAAGAACCATACACTGACAAATGATACTATACAAAAATGCTACATCAGGGCTTAGTATGAGTGGGGCGAGTGGTCTAACAGTTCATAAAGTCTGTCTTTGAGTCAAGTGGCGAGGTTTGGACCCAAAGGAATAGGACATAGAATTGCCTGTCCAATCTTGTGAGATTTCCTCAGGTCCTTTGGTTACCTCCCACTATTGAAGACCCGTACGCTCCAGCTAATTATTGAAATGATTTTGTACCATGTCAGTTCCGAAATAACATAGCTAGAGTAGAGGGGTGCAACAGAATCGGACTATTGGGACTTGGCGGCTAGAGTGCAAAACTACACCAGGAAGCTATAAAACACATTGAAATACCTGGATAACCAAGAAGTATATAACATACCCATACCCGTAATTAATAATATGTGCTATATTTAACTCTATAATTTAGCACGTGAGACCCTATTACATCGTTTCTATTCAAAGAAATGAAATCATGTGACTGACATTGTTGAAAAGGTATATTTAAGATGATGTCAACATGCAGGCATACTTATATAAAATTGAATATTTTGTAAAGATTAGCTGTCATTTATCACTACCTATAAGGAAGAACACAGGTAAGTCGATAGCAGATTATAGATATTTAGTTTCAAGGTTATTTATTCTTTTGTTATTTGGCAGACAAAAATAGACATATATGCCTTCTTATTATGGGCGCACTGCTATGATATATTATGACACAGTATGACATACTATCGTGTCACATGTGTGTCTGACTGATCGTCAAGACATACTGGTGACATCTAACTAATATTCAGTTTATATATGTTAGTCTCAATATAACCCAAGTATTGTGTTCAGTGGTCTGTTAATCCAATCCAATAATATAATAGAAGGAGTTTATAACAAATCTAGATGTACTGAACGTATGTAAATAGAATACAAAACCTAAAGCGAGTAGCGTTCAAACTTGGAATTTTTATAGCTTATGAACGACAAGTTTTATACATATCGAGGAAGTATTTTTAATCCAGTGTATCACAAGACCGGTGACGTTATTAAGAATAAATAAACGAAGCTGTATTTTCCCACTGTCTTTCTAGAGAATTGTCTCTTCACAGTAACATCTTACAGGCAGGTGTAGGAGTATTTTATTCAATTTATCAACAGTTAGTTTCTTACCTTACTCATATATATTTATTATATTATATGTACAGAATTATCACTTTCACAAAGAACATGAATATGATAATATGATATGATATACAAAATAATCTTATAGTCTAGTCTTATTATCGAAACTTCACTCACTTACCTATTTCAACTCCTTGAAAACCAATAAATGGCTATAAAACGTCTACATTCCAAGATCAGTAGGACGTTAAACCCCATTTCATTTCATTTCATTTCCAAGATCTGCTTAGTAGATTTGTCTCAAATTTTGTATACGATCTTACCCGAACGCCCCGAGGTACCTGTATGGTCAAATCATGTCACACAGAAGGTCATGTTCTCTCTGTTAAATGTGGACAACCATCTAAGGCCGCAAAGTGACAAAGCCTCCGGAAAGCACGGGGTTGCTCTAGACGGAGTTGAACTTGTTTCATAAATTGCCGAAGACCCCCAATATAGATTTAAATCAATAATATAAGCGTCTAAAATATACACACTCGTGTTAAAATTAGATTGTAAAGAATTGAGGAGATAATTTTCTAATCCATATTTAAACATACATTATGCAAGCTCAAAATCTGCCTATTGTAGGTCTTTCTTTTGCCATCTTATGTGTCCGATTTTCATTGGATTTGAATCCGATCGGCTGTTCAACTCCCGTGACAGCCGAAACAATGACAATTTTCTCGGCTTAGAGTGAAGAAATTTGACTGAAATTATCTAGTTTTTAACTACTATAGTGAGAACTGCCAGCTCTTTTTCTAATCTTCCATAATGTATCTTTAAGATAATACGTTTTTAATATTCAATGTCAGTCGTGCATACTGTATGGATAAAATATAATAGTAGATGAACTTGCCTCAATATTAGTATATTAGATTCAAAATTCTAACATGCTATCGTCTAATTTCTAACCTCCGTTCATGTAACTTCTAACCTTAATTCATGTAACTTCTAACCTTAATTCATGTAACTTCTAACCTTAATTCATGTAATTATGGCGGTATATTAGATTCAAAATTCTAACATGCTATCGTCTAATTTCTAACCTCCGTTCATGTAACTTCTAACCTTAATTCATGTAACTTCTAACCTTAATTCATGTAATTTCTAACTTCAATTCGTGTAATTTCTAAATTAAGACAATGTATAATCCAACTTCTTTTTTTGTTCAGTGTAAATTTTAATTCTATTTCATCTTATTTCTATTATTTAGACGAAAAACGTCTTCTCCATTGATTCTTTACACGTTTAGAATTTTTACACTTCTGCCTAGCAACCATCATTATGAAGTCGTTTGGTGTTGCCACTGCGTGCTCATTTGGTGATTGCGCACCTGGTAGGGACCATTATGTTTATATAAACGACTCGCTCTTCGCCTGGTTGGTGATTGGGTGGAGTGATGAGAGAGAGAGAGAGAGAGAGAGAGAGAGGGGGGGGTAACGACCACTCGGCACAAACTAGGTCATTTCTGGACTAACATATGGTTCAATTTATTTCAACAATTCGCTTGCGCTTAGGGGTCTTTAGCAGTGGGAGGACCCGGAGAAAACCCACGAGGTTGGACAGACGACCCTACTCCTTGACAAGTACAACCAGGGAATCGATGGTGAAATTGAAAACAACATCTAACGTGAAATGGTTGGTAAATACTACTTCAAATAAAAGCCAAACAGCATTTTTTTTTTCAATTTTCTTGAAGACAGTTAAGCCATCAATAATATTTATTTACTGTTAATCTGTATCCTATTACCTCTAACAAAAATGATAAACCTTTTCTTGATATGGTTCAATGATATAAATTTAGAAACCTCATACTGTAGGGATGAAACGGCCTTTTCGGGAGTCTGGGATAATCTGTTCATTTGAATAGCGATGGAGTTTTTATTTCTAATTCCTTCATTACACCGACCTGACTAACTTTATGGTAGTTTTTTTTCCAAAAATATTTTATTCAAGTTGCATAAAGCAATACCGAAATTCATAGATAGCGGTTTATCGTCCTACTTTTCTACACCATCCAGGCTAATGAAGACGAACTTACGGTGTGCCATGAGTGAAATTTACGGTCTACTTTTATTACGAATAACAGCTGCAACGGTTTTCGTCCGACTCGAACTACTAGACACTGTATATGCCTACAATAACGGCAACCTCCGCAAATCACAAGGACGGAACTAATAATGTCAGAAATATTATAAAGCGTAGTTTTGCCAGTGTGTATACTAGCTGACGATGTTATATAACCCATAGACATATATTTTTTTTTATGATAAAACCGCCATATTCCGGCGTGGTTATCCGTCCCTTGTTATTGATACAAGACGAGGGTCTGGCACGGACAGTGGCTAGTCGTTCGGGTAGTATAAAGAGACATATTTTAGAGCATTAACAGAATAATTTATGGATCAACAGTATATAAATAGTAATTGGCTTAACTGTAAAATAAAAATAAAATAAAATTCTCCAAATCCTGCACTTGTCTTTAAAAAAAATAACAAATGCTGTTTAGCTTATATTTAAAACAGTATTTGCAAACCATATCACGTTCGATGTTGTTTTCAATTTTTACACTCCGCCAAACCATTCAACCTGACGAAGAGCGAGTCGTTTGTGGCAACATAATGATCCCGCTCAGTGCTCAATCACCAAATTGAGCACACGGTGGCGACACCAAACGACGCCATAATGATGGTTGCTAGGTAGAGGTATCAAAATTCTAAATTTGCTCGACGTTCATGATTAACATGAAAAGTGACAATGAAGTAGACATTTTTCGTCTTATCAATAAAAATAAGACGAAACAGAATTAAAATTTACACTGAACAAATAAAGAAGTTGGATTATACATTGTCTTTATTTAGAAATTACACGAAATGAAGTTAGAAATTACATGAGAGAGAGAGAGAGAAATGGGGTTTAACGTCCACTCGACACAAACTAGGTCATTTCGGGACTAACACATGGTTTAATTTTATTTTAACGATTCGCTTGCGCGTAGGGGTCTTTAGCAGTGGGAGGAAACCGGAGGACCCGGAGAAAACCCACGAGGTTGGACAGGCGACCCTACTCCTTGCCACGTACAACCGGGGATTCGAAACCACGCCAGTCGACTCAATGGCAGACTTTATGATACAACGCGCGCGCGCACGCTAACCATTTAGCCATCCAACCCCCCAGAAATTACATGAATTAAGGTTAGAAGTTACATGAATTAAGGTTAGAAGTTATATGAACGGAGGTTAGAAATTAAACGATAGCATGTTAGAATTTTGAATCTAATATACCGCCATAATTTTCGCAAACATATAAATTTAACTCAAGTTTTACTGGTTTTCAAAAGAGATCATTGTATTTTGAACATGATATTGTGCAATTAATTATATTTATTGTTCTCATGAAAGTGATAATTAAACCTCAATTATTTTTAAATCGTATTCATGTAGTTTGATTTTTATACAACCGATTTCCCGGACATTACGACTCAATAACTAATATCAATTATGACTTACTCATTATATAAATTGTCAACATTTAGTAATGATATATATCATCGAATATTAGGCGTGTATAATAATTATTATAGTCGGGTGACGTTTATTACAATAAATGGGATGTATATCTTTGTCTTTTTGAAGGTTTTACAACGAGTCACTCGCAAATAAAAATAGAGGTATTTTGTACGTAGGTTTGAAAAGGAATATAGCCACCGAGTGCAGAATTTATGAGGATCAGTTTTTCTTGAGTGGACTTTACAGTGGAGTTCAATTCCGGGTGGTTATCAAGTGTTTGAAGTGGCTAATGTCTATAATTAGGGGAAATGAGATATTGTTCGGAATAATATTATTCTCTTATAGATTAATAAAACATTAACTTATATCACTGTACATCTCTAAATAAGTGTATAGAATGCCCCTTTATAGCTGTTATACTTCGGACTTATGGTGGATTAGTGGCGGTAGGGCACATGTTAGAAATTGGCCAAAAATGGCGTTTTGCTAAAACTTTTTACCACGACATCTAGTTATGACGGTACTAGAAATGGGTGTTTTATTAATACATAAGATAAACGAACTTATATCAACATTTTTCCCGGATTTCAAGCATTGTCCCCACCCCGTATCTCGAAAAAGACCCCTAAAACGAACGATTGATCACCACCCAGAATAGAAATCTAAAGCAAAAATTACCCTTCTCGATTGAAGATGCCCCCCCTTTCAACCACCTGATTAGAAATAAGGAAGAAGATTATATTAATTAGCATACTAACATGAAGGTAACGGATTGAGCAGTACAACAGATTAATACATTTATTTAAAAATAAAACGTTAAGCGTGTTACATATATCATTCATCTGACAGCAAATAGAGCGTTTTATTTTATGATCAGTAGTGGAATACCGCGTTTTATCAGTGAAATAAAAGTGTTATTCCACAGGCTCCAAGCGGACAAAGTAGTCCATGTTGTTTTTACCTAAAATGATTGTAAAATCATGCTACGCATTCGTGAAAATATAAGTTTTCTTGCTTCTCGATCAAATAAAACATGTTATTCACTCTAAAACGACAAATATCCTCTATTTATCTATTGATTTTGTTCATCTAATAGTCTAATATTTTTGACTGAGTCACCACAATAACGCTGACTTCCATTTACTTTCAGGATATTTAAGACCTATTTCAATCCCAGTTTTCATTTTCGTTTTTAGGTTCTATTTTGATTCCCATCTAAGCATCTGTGTCTATTCTAAAACAAAATGGCGGCGCCTCATTCTGATGTGATTCAGGATAATGTCTTGTCAACTATAGACGAAAACGAAGAAGACCCAATGCTGGCATCGGAAATCTCATCGCTTGCTCCAAGTACCAGAACAGATCTTCCGCCTGAACTAAAAGATAAACTCACTGTTCAAGGCAAGTCAAAAATCGAAGAGGCGTTGACGAGGAAGACGAGTAAAAGATACCTATGCATTGTCCCGATGGTTAAAGTGTTTTCTACGATGGTTATTGGGTTTTTGGTGCTTTCTTGCATTGCTGTTTCCAAATTTTCTATATTGAATCTCACGCTCAATATAACAACAATGGGAAGTAACTCAAAAGATAGGATTAAAAATACGAGTCGCTTCATTGCTCTGTATTTTATATTTCTCTGTCCATATGTGTTTAATTTATTACGTGCCTTGTGGGTTGGTGGATTGAGAAAAGATATGCCATGGCCTTCTTTGAGATCCATTTTATTGGTAAGTTTTAAACAGTTTGTCTATTAAAGAGAAAACTTGTACATGTATTAGAATTATACACTGACAGAGTTCATAATGCAAATCTAGCGATAAAAAGTTTATGATATATAATTGATAAATGATAGGGGTAATATGACAGAATAAACGATTGGTCTAAGTTCCTTACCAAAAACGGCAAACCAGACATCAGCCATTTTGTCTCTTTGAAACTAATGTCGACTTCTCTGTTAAAAATTGCGATATTCGGAGACGTAAAATGAAACGAACTATATGTGCAACAGCTCTTTCATAGCAGCAGCAATTATTTATGTTTTATATATATATATATATATATATATATATATATATATATATATACTATTCAAAAAAAGTAGGGGATATTTGATTTTGGGGGCATAATACTAAAATATGCAAATGACTACGAAAAAAGTCACTATAGAACCTAACAGAAGAAACATTTCCAGTTACATGTGACGCCCAAACGCACCAATAGCTACCGCATGGAATGCAGGTGATGCTTGGGATCATCATGGGGGTCCAACCCAAGATTTGCACGACTCTGACTTTGAATGTTACAGTCATTGTGGCATTGAATTCCAGGGTGGAAACACCAGTTTAATTGTTTTAGTGACCAGAAAACAAATTTTGATATGCGTCGGCTTACCCAAAATGAAAGGTTACGTGTCCTTGGCATGCTACAGATCGGCACAACACAGGCGGTTGTGGCGCGGACGATGAATGTTTCTCAGTCTGTCATAAGCAGGCTATGGTCCAGATACCGTGATACACAATCTGTACAGGACAGACCACGCTCAGGTCGACCAAGGGCGACAACTCAAGCCCAGGATCGATTTATCCGTACCTTGGCCTTGAGAAATCGTGTCATCACAGCAAATCAGATCAGCGCTCGTCTTCAAACAGACACTGGTGTGAGAGTTAGTGGCCAGACGATTCGGAATCGACTGCATAGGGGTCACCTTCGCGCCCGACGTCCTCGCGTGATCCTTGTTTGAGAGATCATCACATTCAGGCAAGACGTCGTTGGTGTAGGGATCGTCAACACTGGGATAATCGACGCTGGAGCAATGTGATGTTTTCAGATGAGTCAAGGTTCACTGTTGATTTTTTGGACAGACGTAGGAGGGTGTGGCGTCGTCGAAACGAGCGCTTCCAAGACGTTAACGTCATCAGACATGATCGATTTGGGGGTGGTTCTGTTATGGTGTGGGGAGGCATCACTGTTGCTGGAAGAACGGCTTTACATGTTGTTGCAGGGCGTGTTACAGGCCAGTACTACCGGGACAACATCTTGGCAGTCCATGTTGTGCCGTTCGCACGACGTCATGGCCGCCGTTTCATCTTCCAGGATGACAACGCAAGATGTCACAGGGCCAGGATCGTTACAGGTTACCTCCAACAACAGAACATCACCAGGTAACCTTGGCCAGCACTGAGTCCCGACCTCTCCCCCATCGAGCATGTCTGTGACATGCTTGGACAGAGGTTACGTCAACGTCAACAACGTCCTGCCAATGTCCAAGAACTTGCTGCTGCGTTGCAACAGGAATGGGACAATCTGGACCAAAATGACCTTAGACGTCTCATTAGGAGTATGCCATGTCGGATCAATGCTTGTTTGGCAAACAGAGGAGGATTTACCCGTTACTGACTTGGTTGTGATGCTGTGGTAACTTTGCTGTTTGACCCCGGGTATCATTTTACCCTTATAATGGTCAGTCTGTGCCTTACTTAGTCTAACGATCATTTGGAATAAATCGATGAATGTGAACTTCATTTCATTTTGTCATTTGTTTCTTCGTCAGTTTCATTAGGTGACTTTAATAACACTTAAAAATCAAATATCCCCTACTTTTTTTGAATAGTATATATACCAGCCTATAGACATTATACCACATTTACCAGACTGAGTTGTCTCGTTATGGGCGATACTACTATACTATGTATGTAATTATTTCACATTCGCTTCCCTCAAGTATCTTCAAGTTTGCATACCAGTTCGACCCCACTGACATGGCAAAAGCTCCCACATGTCACACTACAGAGCGTTTGAACCCGTGGTGGGGTGGGGTGGGTGCAGAACAGTAGGACATTAAAACCCCGAAGTTTCGACTCTTTACTAGACTATTATAACACGAGACGAGACAGATACGCAACTGATGCAGCTTCATCTGAGTCTCATGCGCAAAGACCGAGCTAAACTTCCTGTTCTGCCGCTTTTGACTATCTTGTGTCAATTTTAAACATTGGAGCTGTTTTTATGATATTTTTCAGGCATTTTTTACAAGTATACTAGAATGTTGTGGTCTGTGTATATTCACCTACAAAATACTCGGGCAGTTTACCTTAACGACCAATCTGTTATTAATGAACACGGTTTATGTTCTACCGTTCATTTTGTCATACAACCGCAACAAAATACGTCATCCACGCCTCAACAAGTGTTCACACATAGTTTTGTCGTTATGTGCATTGGCCGGATCTGTATGTATTTTGAAAGTAGCTTTCGATGAAAGCACAGATAATAACCAATCTAGATCATTCTTCTGGCACGTCATCGTAGCAATAGTTACACTGACGGTAGCGTGGTCACCATTTCTAAAACAGGAGCTATCCAAGAATCAAACACAAATGCGGAAAAACAGCAAAGGATACACGTCTTTGAATAATAATGGTTCTTCCATATCGACCAACGTTTCATCAAGCTCGGGTTTTTCCAGTTTTGCAAGTTCGGCTGGTGCATCTGTAACGCCCGAAGAACCTTCAGGAACAGACACCAAAAACAAAAATATAACTGACTCTCCCACTTTTTGGAAGATGGGTATCATTATAAACGCATTTAACGTGATATTTATCACTTTGTTTAGTTTCGTATTTTATTACGCTGATAATAGTGTTTACAGGTCTGATCTGTACTTCACTGAAACAATGTATAACGAATTTCTGGAAGCGTGGCAACTTCCATGGAATGACGTAGCACAGAATCTTGTTTTGAATCTGAGTACCTCTCTCATTGGTTACGGATTGGCTTTCATGGCACTTCATGTTTGTATGCAGAAGGGTGCCTTTATTTTACCGGTGTTACTCTTCTATTTACTGTCGCCTATTTTACTCATGTTAAACGGCAGTTGCAAGATCTTATTTCCACAAGCGGACGTACGGTGTTATACTAACGACCAACTACCCTTACTGATAATCTCCACTGTTCTTTTGTTTACGGCTATAGCTTTGTATTCCGTCAACATATTTAGTAAAGAAGACATCGTATTACAGAAGGAGTCTAAGGTAATTCAGATCCATCTGTCAACTTTGAAATACGGTAGCCACTGTTTTCTCTTTTTGATTCCATTTTAAGCACTAAAAAAAACCCCAAAACACCACATTACTCTAGAGATTATATTTGTTTATTTTTAACTCGACATTTTGATTTATGTTTGTATGAAAATTTAAGCCTTCCAAAATAGTCCTTTTAGTTCCCGTATCCACTTCAAATTGATTCTCAGAGGCCGTTTAATTATGAAATAATGTGATTATCTGATTATTGTAGTTGTTCTGTTTTGAAATGACGTGATTGTTTGGTTTTTGTAGTTGTTCTGGACACCGACATATAACGGTATGTTATTAGATCAATGTTTGATGTTAAATAAAAGAAATGTAGAAGAGAATAGTGAAGATATTGTTAATAATACAAGGGTGTATATCTGTACTACTATGTATAGAGAGGTGAGTCTTAGATCCACGTGTCACAAGCGCAAGATGCTTATTAAATTTGTTGACAGTTTCAGAGATGAAATGAATTGTGAAATTAAAAAACAAGTTTTTGAAATTTTAAATTATCACAGACAACTTTGTAATATTGTTGTAAAAGCTGTTTTGACATTCAAAATGTCTTGCTTTCTGAGTACTGGGCGCATTACTCTATTCTTGGGGTATACAGTCAAGGAGTTGGTTCCGGGCATCACCAATTCTCGGTACGCTATTAGGTATTAGTTAAATAACGGGACAAGGTGTTCTGTAAAATATGTTAGTTGAAGAATTTAATGAATATTTGAAGGATGCTGACAACAAACTATTGTTATGTTGTTATGTGTATTACGCTTTATTTCTTTTATTTTAACAGACGGCGGAAGAGATGAAAATACTTCTGGAATCTATATATCGTGTCAACTTGTCTCAGATGGAAGGAAGTAGATTTTTTGAATCTCATATTATTTTTGATGGCGGTATCATAAACAGATCGCTTACCAGTTTTGCTTTACAATTGATTGGCTTGTTAGAACCAACATTAGGTAAACATCAATGTCATCTTCGACTATTATAGTGTTCTTCGTTTATATTTGTTACATTCGCTGTTTAGTCAACTAGCAACAGTACCTAAATTTAAATTTAAAGAAATCCGTAATCTGGATTTTGTTCACGATTTATGTTGAGACATTCGGCTGTGTGTTTTCATACCTTTACATAATTGAATTGTATCTATGGTATCGTGACAGGTGAATACGTTGGCGGCTTCGGGCGTCTACCCAATAAATCAGTTACAGACTGACACTCACATGTCTATGAATGTAGTAGTACTCGAAGCATACCAATATCTTGGTATATTTGTATCATATTACTTCTGATATCTTAGTATCGCGTCGGTTCTGAAAGTCCATAAAAATATTTACTATTTAGGAATTTCACCAGCCGACGGTACCAAAGTTATAACACCATATGGTATGAAGTTAAGTTGGAGATTACCGTCAGAAAGAGGAAAACAATCCATGGCCCTGAGTCTTCATCTTAAAGATAACCTAAAAGTAAGCATAATGTGTGAGACTGGGTTGAAAACAAATATCTTGCCGAATATTTTTGGGCGATTTTTGTAAGGTGGAGTAAAAAGTTCAATTTGTTACATTAAAACAATTTGTGAAATTCTTATTTTCATATCATATGTTCGCATATTTTGTTGGGTTGGCTTAAGTGCTTTGGTGAAGAAATCAACTAGGAATACTTGTGATTTAGTATTGATAGATCCAATGGGCTTTTTTAATAAATAGATCTGTCAGTGATCTGCGCAGATCACTCATATTTCAAGTGTAGATAAGTTTATAATTTGAGTCAGTATGAAAAAATTGTTATTTGTTTTGTGTCATTCTTTTTTAAGGTTAAAAATAAGAAAAGATGGAGTCAAGTGATGTATATGTCCTTTGTTCTGGATTTCCTGATGGGGGATGGTATGTAAATTAGTAGGCAAACAGAATATAATAATATTATTGAGGAATGAACAAGGGATACTATTTAAGTGTTATTTGTATAACGGTGATTATACTGCTACAATTTCTACGATGTGTATTTAGCAATTTGAGTGATTAAAGGCATATTAACAAAGGCAAATTATCCGGATTGACATACGCTTTGCCACGTTAATGCATAATATGGTATCTTTTAAGAATGGGTGTTAGCTGATTATGTTTTGTAACACGTTTTGATTAAAGATGTGTGTTTGATTTTAGCTGAAGATGAAGAATGTTTTATATTAACAACGGACGCTGATGTAAAGTTTACGCCGGATTCTGTAGAAGCTTTATTAGATCTGATGCTACGTGATAAGACTGTTGGTGCTGTGTGTGCTAGAACACATCCCATGGGAAGTGGTCCGGTAGTATGGTATCAAATATTTGATTATGCTATAGGTCATTGGTTTCAGAAGGTGGGTTTTAGATCAATATTCCGGGTCTTACTAATCACTGACAAGAACCGACATTAGCGTTTTTTTGTCAAAATATACAATACGTTATCAATGTCCACAATACGTATAACGTTATTCTTATAAAAGTTATAAAAGTCTACAGTACGTTACTCCTATCAAAGTCTACAATGTGTAACCCATATTAATACTTTTTTTTATCGAAGTCTTCAAAATGTAAATCTTATAAAAGTCTACAGTATGTTAATCTTAACGTCTATGTGTTACCCATATAAAAGTCTACAGCGTGTTACCTTATTAAAGTCTATAATATGTTACACTTATCAAAGTTTACACTATGTTAACCTTATCAAAGTCTACACTATGTTAACCTTATCAAAGTCAGCATTATGTTAACCTTATCAAATTGAACACTATCCTAAAATTATCAAAGTCTACACTATGTTAATCTTATCAAAGTCTACACTATGTTAATCTTATCAAAGTCTACAATATGTTAATCTTGTCAAAGTCTTCAATATGTTAATCTTATGAAATACAAAAATATGTTACTCTTATAAAAATGTAGAGGGTGGGGGGGGGGGCGAAAGGTCTGTCATTGAGTCAACTGACGTGGTTTCAATTCCCCGGTTGTACGTGACAAGGAGTAGGAGGGGCGCCTGTCCAATATCGTAGGTTTTCTCCAGTTCCTTCGGCTTTCGCCCACGGCTGAAGACCCCTACGCGCAAGCGAATTATTGAAAGAAAATTGAAACATATGTTAGTCCCTAAATGACCTAGTTTTTCGCGAATGGAGGTTAAACCCCGTTAAACCCCATTCTTTCTCTCTGTATAAAAATCTACAATAATCAATTGTTACTCTTATCAAAGTCTACAATATGTTGCTCTTATCAAAGGATAATGCCAAAAGCTTCCAAGAATTCCTCCACGAATTTCATCAATCGTGACAGCAGTGTAAAACTGATAAAAAGTGTCAGTAATTTCATTTATTTCTTTATACTGTGTAATTGCAGGCAGCAGAACATGTTTTAGGATCTGTTTTATGTGCACCAGGGTGTTTTAGTGTATATAGGTGTACATCTTTGAAAGATGTTTTACCAGAATATGCTACAACTGTTGAACATGCTGATGATTTTCTTACTAAAGACATGGGTGAAGATAGATGGCTATGCACACTACTGGTAAATAATCTATAGCGACTGATAAAATATTGATGGTCAAAGAGGTTTAGCTCTTGAAACATTTTTTTTACACTAGAGACCATCAGATATTGTAGGGGTCAGGCATATTTCTAAAGCAATGGTTTCGAGCATTATCAGCACATTAGCCATTGCTATACATATGGTAATATCGTGTGTCTACCTTCTCTTGACTATTACGGAGATTTAAAGTTAGGTCAAACACACAAACAGACTTTCTCCAGGAACCTGCCTATGTACCCTTCGTAGGTTGATAAATCTTATATGACAGTCGCATAGATATTTCAACTCATGATGTCTGAAAAGCTGAACAGGTTGTCCGTTTCATTGATATGTTTAACAGATGTAAGACGTAAAAACACCAGAAGTCGTATCAACCATTTTGATTGGTCTGTCAGCGAACCCTGTAGACCAATGAAAACAGTCGTTAATAATTGTTCTTAAGTGTGGTAATAGTTAATAATGCTAATCATGTGAGTGACCATTGCTTGTGGAATTTGGGGGTTTCAATTCTATAAATGAAATTTTGACAATGGAGATCCAAACTATGTTTGTTAAACATCAGATAAGGCCACAACAACAGCGATTTCATAACTTTAAAGGAAAGTGGCATTTTTGGTATTTATTTTTTTCCTTAAACTCGAACCGGTTATAGGAACAAATCCAAAACCAAAGATCACTACCTAGGCAAACTCATGTAACTCATCAAACAGTATGCATAAAGTGCAATAAGCTTAACCACATATTTTGAACTCGGTTGGCATTAATATGTCAAAAGGAAAATATAGATACTGTTTTTAATTTCATATCCTTGACACACGAATGAAATATGGGTGAAACTTTAATTGAGTACAAAAGATGTGTTAGAATATTGTATCACTGGGTCTTTTAATGTAGGTTCAAAGTGGCTGGAGAATTGAGTATTGTGCTGCTGCTGAGAATAGTACCAACTGTCCTTCAGATTTTGATGAATTCTATAAACAAAGAAGACGATGGATCGCTTCTACTATCGCCAATCTCATGCTAATTCTCAGAAAATGGTATCTTATAACCAGTTTTAACCACCGAGTTTCAATATTGTTTATTATATACCAAGGGGCATTACTCTTGTCTACCTTAATAGGACCTAGCACTATAATTCTTCTTGTATCAGGTGAGTGTGATTGTAGTTATATTTGTTACGGAGTGGATTTAACCACATGCTTTTACAAAATACAGTATTATCTTTAAACACATGTTGTTACAATATGTAGCATTTTTGTATGGGTAATTCATTTTCATGTTTCGGTGTTATCTTGATTTTGTGTAACTTATACCTTTGCTTATCCACGGTTGGTATCAAGAGTTTTACTTATGAATACATAAATAAACATTCCTTCTGCACATTTTGACATCATGACAATCTAATACATTTGCTTCAAACAATGAGATTATTATCATTACTACTAATAGGCTACTACAAACTGCAGTACAAATTGATCAGCGATGGTTTGGAACCAGCGATCAAGGGTTAAATTACCGAAATAAAATAAATTCCAGTAGCTTCCGGCGTATTTGAATGTACACACCCGGACATCATGCGAAAGCACTAACTCAAACAGTAGGAGAGTTTATATTCTATAAAAAGTAGGTAATCATCGAGTGATGTGGCCCAATGTAGAGCCAATTAGTATAATAATAGTAATAATGAGGTTTTATATAACGTCTTCTCCCTGTTGACACATGTTCAAAATGGTTTTTGTAATGGCTCTACTGGTAAAACTGTCGAAACAGGAAAGTCTTTAGTGAGGATTTAAATTGATTAAAAGTGTGTCGGTACTTGATCTGTTGAATAAGTTCATTCCATAATCTAGGACCAGCTGAACCGGAAGACCTGTACCTATATGACCCATATATCTTGGAACAACTAGTGACTGTTTATTTTGAGAGCGAAGTGATCTGATAGGGTTGTAGTCCTATAAGAGTTCAAATAAGTATTGAGGAGCTGCGTTATTGCGACATTTATACACTAATGTTAGTATTTTGTAGCTGACTCGCGCCTCAGCAGGTAACCAGTGTAACGAAGCTAGCACATTCTGGATGTGATCAAACTTGTGTGTCCTTGTCACTATTCGGGCTGCAGTATTAAGAACTTTCTGGGTCTTGGCTAAAAGTGCTTGTGGGATTCCAGAAAGTAAACTATGACAATAATCAATCCTGGATAAAATCAATGATCTCACAAGTAGTTTACAAGCGTCAGCAGTAAGATAGTCCCTGATGTTGTATAATTATACAGCGTAGATGATAGTAGAATGTACGGCATACCATATCAACCTGAAGGATCAAATCAGAGAAGGATCAAATAACACTCCTAGGTTTCGAACATTTTGGTAGAAATTTATTTCTAAATTACCAATGGTGATCTTAAGAACGAACAGTCAATAGTTTTTTTGTATACACAGCTGGCGTGTGACATTGGGATTTGCTTGAAATAATTAAGATATCGACCATCTATTGATGATAGCTATAAGCATCCATAGGCTAATCCACAATTCGGTAATCATGTTGACTTACATATGGAAATATAAGTATGAACTTTATCGTTATTAAGATATTGTATATAGAGTGGCTGAAAAGTAGTATGTTGTTCGGAACGGGGTGGGTAATATGCCTAAAACATTGTCATACTGCAATATTGTTTTTAAATCATTTACAGGGGGATTGGCGTATTCGTGGAACACAGATGTAGTGACTTCTATGGTGCTACAATTGTTAACTAGTGTTGTCTTTGTTGGTATCTGTCTAAAAGCTACGTCTACGGTACAGCTACAAGTAAGTCCGTTTCTAAATTTAGCATAAAAAGCGTCACGTGAAAATTGAAAATTACTAAATGTTAGTCTCAAAATGTTTTTAACGGGTTTTTTTTTTATTGTGGTCCTGAAAGTTAATTCTCTGTTTGCAGTATGCACCTAAAGGTTTCATCGACCGAATATGCATGACTTCATTTCCCGACAGGTGTCAGAAACGGATAATATTTTAGACTTTGAAGACTATTATGTGTGTTCAATGGTCCTATTTGCATCTTTTGGACAAATCCAGCAAAACGATTAAATTTAAGAGACAGTCAGTAGCTTGTGTGTCAATGTATTTCAGGCAGCAAAGGTATTAACGTTTGCATATGCTGTGATTATGACGGCCGTTTTTGTTGGTACCCTGGAACAGATTGCACAAGATTTAAACAATTTCCGGGAACCGGTTAGTGATAACAATACATCATCAACAACAGTATCTCCACCACAAGGTATTTTAACGAGATATTTTATTGTCTCACAATTTAGCCAAGGAATCGTAAAGTTTTTAATTTTATGTTAATTTTTATTCATTGTCCAGTTTTGAATTTGATTTCAAGCCAAGCTAAATCGGAAATGCCATTCAGTTTGCCATTCAAGTAAAGCATTGGACCCACAATTATTAAATCAGTATGCCAAGTGTGGTATTGTAGCATCACCTGTAGTTTGCTATATTATTAAAGAGCACATAAAATAACCATTTGACAGTGGTATGTGTGATTATATTATAAACACTCACTGAAATTCATTTAAGATACATTGAGATATCTTCACTCAAATTAACAAATAAAGACCAATGACGTCACAGCGATCAACTGGGGGCGAGGGGTGATACCTTTCCATTACACAGATTAATCGGCGCCGTTGTACGTCTGGCCCATTTCTTAATACGGTACAATAAATAAAACGGACGTAAAATACAGCTATCAAGTGAAAATCATACAAATTTAGGTCATTGACGATTGTATGGTTTTGCTATTACGTTATAAACATAAACAGCAAATAATATATATATTGATATATTAGTATTCACAATGCCATTAATGTATATTAAAAAATACGAAGTGTATATTTTGCCGTCCGACGGTTTTTTACTTTGTTTAATATTTAGCCTACTTCCGTTCGACATGCGCAGTTGTCGATTCCTGATATATTCCACCATTTTGGAACATTAAAAACAACTCGTCTTTCAAGTTCGGCGCAGAAGCACGATTTTACGGGAAAAACATAATCCACTGACAGTCTAAGTACTTAAATTAAAAACCAAAACCCGCAGAAATATGCCCTTGACCAAAATAGAATAATATTCTAAATGCCTTTCTACAATTTACATTTATTATCTTATTTTCTTTTAAAAATAATTCTCCAGTTTCTACCATCAGAAATTCAAGTATGGCTATTTGCTTACTTATAAGAGACGGAGAAAGAAGCAATGTTAGACATAGGACGAATAGAAATGTCTTGTGGGTTACGGTTGGTTTATGGGTTAATGTCAGACGGTAAAATAGCCCACGAGTTAAAAGAGCCGGCTTCATTGCGAAAGCTGCTAAGCCCAGGGGTCTGTTTCACGAAATTTTAACTAAGATAAAATCTAGATTTTAGTAATTTGATTGGATAATATTAGATTTATTTTAGTGCTTAGCCAATCAAACTTGAAGTATCTACTAAAATTTGGATTTTATCTTTAGTTAAAATTTCGTGAAACAGGCCCCAGGAATCAGACAACTGCTCATGTCAAACGGAGGTGACGGCTAAATAGTAAATAAAGTAAAGAACCGTCGGACGGCAAAATATACACTGCCTAAAAAAATAATAGAGGGCAAAATACGCTACCCTTTGGGACTCCAAGTAAAACTCAATTGTCTCTTTTATATCTAAATTTTAAAATGGCCGCGGTGTTTTAATCTAGTCGATTATGGGCTTGTTATATTAATAAATGTATGAATAATAATGTATTATTGAAGACAGAAAAAAAGACCCGAAAAGGGAATATTGAACTCTTTAAATATTATTTTCCAGTGGCATGTTTATAATGTATAACAGCCCAAGAAGAGAAAGTCCCGCTGTTAACAATGTTCCTACCTAATATAGTGATTGTTTAATTGTAGCTTGTAGGTGATGGTTGGTCTAGAGTCTAGCGTTTATTGACAAACGGCATTTGTAGTCCCTGTGACGTCACTCGCTAATGAACTCAAATTGAAATGTGTTTTAAAGCGTCTGACACACAAACGGAAATATATAGAGTTATTTTATTCAGATTGGTGTAAAATTGGTGTAAAGTGTATATAATAACACTGTCTTCAAGTACATAGCACTTTTATATTGTCATTTTATGTGCTCTTCAACAATCTGTAGCTTTTAAAGGATTCTATTTTCAATATAATAATATGTTTACCTTCCAGTTTCAACTATAAGGTTTATATAAAGATGGAATTATGTTGTTTTTCCCCTTATTTTCAGCTATAAGTGTAGATATACCGGTGTCAGTAACAACAATATATCTGGGAAGTTTAATTGCTATATTTATGATAACAGCTTTAGTACATCTACAAGAGTTTACATGTTTACTACATGGTTTATGGTATTTACTGTGTCTACCATCCGGTTATGTTATATTAAATCTTTACAGTATTTGTAATTTAACTGATCGAAGTTGGGGTAAGCTATATGTATTAATAAACATACATCAACCCTTTTTTGTGAGTGTTTCAACATGCCAGAACGAAGGTTAATTACAGAACTTAAGACAATTAGGTTAAACATTTGTTAAAAATCAATTATTCAGAGTAAAACATTGGCTCCTGTGTTCGATCCCGATGTTGACCGAAAACGTTCATCGGATTTTCCGGCGTGGTTCCCCTTTGTCAGTGGTGCAAAACGGGACGGCAACGTATAGTCGTTTGGATGGGACGAAAACCCGTGGTCCCGGGTACACATTGGCGTGCACTAACCTAACTCTTGAAAGTGTAGGCCGCAGTGGCGCTGTCCGGGCAAATTTTCCCCCATAGTACACTGTATGGTCGTATGCCCGTCTTCATTAGCCCTGTGGGTGCAGAGCAGTAGGACATTAAACCCCATTTTATTCCATGCAATGCAATACGCGGAGGGATAAAACAATTCAATTTCCACCAATTTTAAAAACAAATCATTCCAACATTTGTTTAATTTATTAATTATCGATAAGTAAGTGCTAATTTAAATTGGTTCATCCGCAGAATCTGACATAATTCCGGCCATCTATTTCAACAATGGCTGTGGGAACCAACTCATTTGTTTAAAATGTCATGAATGAACGCTGTGATGAAAATAAGGTTTATGTAAACATTCTCCGGAAAGTACATTAATGTATATACTTCTGATAATTAAAATGTTTTTTGTCCACTGTGTATCCAAATGTTTGGCGTCATAGTGCACTACGTTTTACGTTATCTACTGCAGACCTAGTTCAATGTCGGAAAACACAGCCATGTCGCTGAACTCAAATTTGTCGATTTTATGACCGGTATCAATGTTCCGCAACCAGAGAATAGCACTGTGCTTTCCCCCAGGTTTTCTGTGTGGGTTTGGGAATTTTAAAATAGGTCACATCCAGATTTCGCAGGTCTTATTTAAAGGCTGTACATTCAGGCTTGAAATGAAATGAAATGAAATGGGGTTTAACGTCCTACTGTTCTGCTCCTATACTGGGCTAATGAAGACGGGCATACGCCATACAGTGTGCTATGAGGGAAATTTTGCCCGGGCAGCGGCACTATCGCCTACTCTTATATCGAATTCCAACTGCCAAGGGATCTTTTATGTGCATTCCAATGTATACACGGGACCTCGGTTTTTCGTAAAATCCGAAGGACTAGACAGCTGTCCTTGTCAGGCCCTCCGTTCTGCACCACTGACAAGGGGAAACCACGTCGAAAAATCCCGATGAACTTTCTCGGCCAATGCAGGGATCGAACACCCAACCTCCAGGCTAGTGAGCCAGCGTCTTAACCACCTACCCACCGTGGCTCCCATTCAGGCTTGTCGTCTGTAATATGGCTAGTGCACTCGAACGTCAACAATTTGCCGACCTAACTATAAATCTTAGTTTTGATTGGTTGATAATTATTGATAGCCAGGAACATGGTGATGTCCTGTGTAATGACATAAAATAAGCCTTTTTAGTCTTTAAAATTTAATATCTTTTTTATTTTTCAACACAAAAGTCTTGTAATACAACATTTATTATTATTTAGCAAAATAATCTGCTTTGGTTCCCTTTATGTGTGTTTTGAAGATATGTTTTAAAACTTTTCAGCGGGGGTAGACTTTATATTGGGATATTTTAAAACTGCAGACTGTACCCAGTGGTAAAATCTTTTGGTTCTTATCATCACCAGCAAAGTCATATATGCAGACTAAAGATGTTGCGACATAACGGGGTCAAAAACTCTGAAGTACCAAGAATTCAACTATAATGACTATTCGAGTAAAGATAGCATAACGTAATAAAAAAATCTCAAAAGATCTGAGCACTCTATTAAAAATAAACTGTTTTATTTTGACACCCTGAAAATATAGTTTCCGGATCTTTAAACAGGTACCCGTGAAGAAAAATCTCAATCTGTAACTGTTGTTAGAGAACCATGGTATACGACCTTAGCTAGTATATTACGTCAGATATGTTTGTAAGTAAAAAAAACCTAAGACTTCATATCGTCTTGTTAAAGTCCCACTTCCCTATTGATAGCGCCAGAACCGTCAAAATTCTATTAATTGAAACATATAATTTCAAAATGTTGCTTTAATATGTAATCTGTCAAATCTAGTTGATTGATGTTATCAATTTATTATGGGACTGAGACTTGTTATTCTCCAAAGGAACAAATGAACTGGGTGTAAGCTATTAGAGGAGAATTCTCGAAAGGAATAAATGAACTAGGTGTAAGCTATTTTAAAGGATAATTCTCTAAAGGAATAAATGAACTGGTGTAAGCTATTAAAGGATAATTCTCTAAAGAATAAATAAATTGGACATAAGCTATTAAAGGGGACTGCTCTTAAAGACGAAATAAATTCAATATATATTATATATGTAATTTTATAGTTGCTGTGACAGAAACAAAAAACAGACTGGAAATATTGGTAGTGATGGTAGAGCTCGAACTACCAGTATCTCCTCTACTGATCATGATGGTCAGTATGTAGACAGACCTTCTAGAAACCAATCAATCATACCGGATGAAGAGGACATAATGGCCACCACTTCATTACAAGAATGTACGAATATTATAATTAATCAATTTCTTAGTTATTTTGTTATGGATGCAAGCTGTGGCTCGTTTATAGGGGATGCATTCTAATAATATAGATAATATTGGCAGCTACAGAATCAAATTTCAAAAAGAATTCTGGACGCCCCCACTCAAACACCGACACTAAATTAAAGGTTGTACTTATGGTGTCATTGACGATATCAGGAACATGACTAAATGTTAAATTTACTAATGTTAAATTTAGTGATTTACTAACCATTGCAATTTTGTCAGAATAGGAACGCCATATTGCAAGGTCTGGCAGCCTGTATGGCGTATCTAACGCATTTTGGATTAAGGGTAGAACTTGGAACAGGAACACCCCTTCTTCTTTATCTCAAGTATTAGTGATTAAACAAGTAATAGTAAAAAGATATTTGCTAAAAATCTATCAATGTGAAGAGTAAATCGGCCATTTTAGAGTGAGTGTTTTAACGAATTGAATGTCTTTTATTTGATCTAAGCTGGCGGTCTTTCTTTGGAAAGTGATGAAAATCAGGAAAATACAGAAGAAGCTTTGCCCATTGAAAGTTGGTTAACACCAGATTTAAAGGTAGAGATTTAATTACAAAATCAAACATTTCATTTAATCTATGCTCTGAGCAAAGAACTTCAGAACTTGCCAAACTCTCAATGCTAATTATTTGAAACAATAGCTCAATATCATCATGGATTCATGTCTAGGATCATGCTATTAGAAAATGTTTATTATTCTTGATAGCGATTCTTGCACTGTGGATATCTAATCGACATTCCTCGATAAATTTGGGCAATTTCAGACAACATACTATACTGACAGAAGGATTAACCCTTAGGAGGGTTTATATCGGGTGTCTTGTTGTGATGAAACCTGTTATATCGTCTCCCTCAGTACATGGAAAAGGGGTGGAGCTTATTATTGGCCCTCGGGGCATAAATACTAATGTGCAAGTTAGGCGGAAATAATTAAGAAACATATTACGCCTTAGTCTCTGCTAACCACACCTTAACATGATCGGTGAAGGTGACTTTATAGTTCAGATTTTTAAACATTTGTGTTTGATTAGATATGGATTCATAAATCTTTAAGACATAATCAGACGATTAAAGGTGTATGTTTTATCAAAAAATGTTAAAACTGTTAAAAATCTTGTTTTGTGACAATGTGGTCTGCCTTCAGTTGTTCAAATTATGTCCCTTGATATTTCAAGGCGAAGGCTGACAGATGTTCATCAATATGTAATCATGAATATGTAAAGCCTATGTGGGTGCCAAGGCCAAGCTCCTCTCAAACTTTGGTAGAACCGATAAAGTATTTACGCATAGAGTATACCTACTTATAGTCCAGGCATTTTAACTCAATTTTGCACCATTTCGGGCAGTTGCTGCAATAGAAATGCCGACCACGTTTTATGGTCGGTCTAGACGTATATTATCACCAAAAAAAAGTCCCAGTCCGAAATCCGTGACCAAATGGGTCAAATTGGAAAAAATCCAAAATGGCCGCCGGTTTTGACTGGAAAATACCAGTTTTTATCCACTTACCATAATATGATTGAGTTTGGTATCAAAATATATCCTTTCGAGGTAGCTGGATCCATTCCCATACACATTTTGGTGATAAGTTATACCGCGGAGTCATTATTGGGAAATAATTCCAGATGGCGACCAGTTTTGGCGGGAAAATTCGAATTTTACAAAATTACCACATTTGGTGTCAAAATATATGTTTTGGAGGCAGCTGATCTCATTTTCGACACATCTCTTTCATCTTGGTAATTAACTGGTTCCCCTGGGTCAAAATAATGGGAAATCCCATTGGAGATTTGGGGATTACGAGTGGTTGAGTCCGCCTCAGATCTAATACGATGACATTCATCAAGCATCAACTAAATTTCATTTGGACGCTCTGGTTGACCACTGCTCACTACGGACGCAGCATATCTGGCATATCGAAAGGGGTCACACTCAGCCCACTGTGGACGCAGTGTCGTGGGCGTGTCCGATTTCGATCACCAACCTCGAAAATTGAGCCAAGATGGCCAAACCTATTCATTTATTTCAGAAAATGATTCAAATGTTGAGACACAGGTGGATACAATATCACCTATTTGTCAGATATGCAGTGAACTGTCCATCGTCATTCCCAAAATGACGGAAAGATAACGGGAATTGGGGACCGATAATAATGAGCCGATTAAGATTCCTGACTTACGTTCAATAATGAGCGGAGATACCAATTTCGATGGCAGAGAATTGAGGACAGAATAAAAGTTGGTGTAAAGTCATGACTAAGTTGAACAATAAGCCAATGGCATGCTAGGGAAAATTTGAGTTCTGTGGCACATGGTAGAAGTGATTTGACGTATATGCCATGACATACCATACATTGACACTTGGTTAAGGGATTATGATTAAGTCACAAAGATCCGAACATGAACATAGTTACCTGCAGTCAAGAACTTAACGACCTGTGAGTAAGAAAAACAAGCATCAAAAGGGACTGGTATTCCTTATAAAGGGTACCTGCCAAGTTTCATTCGATTCTGTTCCCTAATGAGGGTAGCGGTAGGGAGGTAGAATTGAAAGTAGACTCACAACCCCAAGAACGAGACGACGATCAAAATACACTTTAAGCCAGGCCAAGGAAGTTAATGGTGACAGATTAAATGTCATTCGTTGTGACGGTTTGCGTATTGGCCCTGAGTATGCTAACCGGCAATAATGGTTCCCGACGCCCGTGTAGCAATTTTCCTAAATTCATTTATATAAATAAATAAAACTAATACAAATTAGTTGATTCTGAATATTATGGAAATATTAATCCGTCTGTAAAATCTATTTTGGAAGTCATCCGTAGAAATCATGGTCTGATTGAGCTTGTAGTATCTCTGGAGTTAGTTGGAAGAAGGAAAGAGCAGCAGAAGAGGGGGGCCCAATATTGGATGGCACATTTTCGGAAGAGAAGGCACATAGCCACCCCCGCTCCCTCCCATATACCTTGTTAGGAAATCTCATCGGATTCGAGCGTTATCAACCATTTCGAGTTTATTTTGTTTTTGCATTTATGAGGGCAGTGTAGGCGGTTGACTACCCGGCCAGCATGCCTATGCAATTAGGTTTTTTGCTTAGGTTACACAGAGTGAAGAACAATTTCTGTGCTAGATGTTTTATAAATAAGTTTGTAAATAAATAAGTGTCATCTATTTAGGGACACCAGCCTCAATGCTGATTTATTAAATACAACTAGATTAATGTCAAGTCGTCATTTGTCCTGTCTTGGCTTGTCCAAAAAATAGGCATTGGGAGTTCTACTGTTTACTGTTGTAACAGACCATGTAAAAGACAACGGTCCGCAAAAATGAATTTTGGCACTGCTGACTCTCTAGACCTTGATACAGACTCCTCCACGTCATTAACCTTAAAACATTGACAAATAACTATGGGTTGTTCATTATTAAATGATACTGTATCCATCTGTGTCTGAACATCTCATTCATTTTGTGCCACATGCTTCAAAAGGCACGACCAGCTTTCGCAGTGACCTGAGAGTGACCCCAGTCGACATACCCCTATGCCGCTACCGCAGTGAACTGGAAGACACTCCAAATGAAATTTAGTTGATACTGGATGAAAGTCATTTTATTAGGTCTAAGGTAGGAGTATCATTAATCTCCAATCCCTAATCGGAAATCTAAATCCCAAATTAGAATTTCTCCTATATTGACACAGGGAATCACTTAATCACTAAAATATGTACAAAAATAGATTCAGCTACCTCGAAAACATATATTATGACACCAAACTTGATCCTTAATGTAAAATTCGAATTTTCCCGCCAAAACTGACCACCATCTTGAATAACCCCTAATATTGACTCAGCGGTAACACTTATCACAAAAATGTGTATGGAAATGGATTCAGTTACCCCGAAAACGTATATTTTGATACCAAACTCGATCACATTGTGATAATTGGGTGGAAATTGGAATTTACAAGCCAAAAGCGGTAGCCATTTTGGATTTTGGCCAATTTGACCCATTTGGGCACGGATTTCGGACTGGGACTTTTTTTTGGTCATAATATACGTCTAAACCGACCATAAACCGTGATCGGCATTTCTATTGCAGCAACTGCCCACACTTTTGCTATCTTGCCTGGACTATTATTATTTCTATTACATCTTTATTGCGAATCATCCATGATTATATATTTTCTCAATTTGACTGACTGCACAGCACAGTGGACGCGTACGGATACCCCCCCCCCCCTCTAGATTTGGTATTTGATATTCATTCTTTTTACTTTCTGTGTAGTTTGTCTGGTCCACAGGTTTGTCTTGTCCGCAGGTTTGTCTTGTGTATAGTGCTGTCCCCCTGCACTCCTATAATCCTCTCTATTATATGTGCAATATTGCACCAGGTTAACATTAAATTATTTTTTTTAAATATATATTTTTCAGTCAAAGTATCTTGACCTATTTAAGAAACATGGTTATGATAATACTTTATTTATATCCGGTATGTCGAGTAAAGAATTGGAGTCAATGGGCATTAAAAGTAAATCTCATATCCATTACATAGCAGAACAGATTAAACGATTACCTTTATTTGAAATAGAATATGAGGTACCGGTAAGTATGAATAGAAACGATTGGCACATTATATTTCTGACTATGGGGTGGGGAAGTGAGGCGTGGTAGAATAAAACCTTTTGTGTATTCGAAGACCTGTGTCCATGACTAAATTTTCAGTAGTTTGTAAAACTGGACAAGATAAATTTAATTCGAGGATTAAAGGGTGGTGTGTGGCTCTAACCTTGAAATAGACGAAAATGGTTCTAAAAGCACGTGCTGTATGTAAAGTGATTTATATTCAATTTTTGAAAATAATATCTATTTTGTTCGTTGAAATACGTGAACAGTTCGGGGCCACGGTGGCTAAGTGGGTAAGACGCTGGCGCGCTAGCCTGGCGGCTGGGTATTCGATCCCTGCATTGGCCGAGAAAGTTCATCCAGATTTGCCGGCGTGGTTTTCCCTTGTCAGTGATGCAGGACGGAGGGCCTGACAAGGACAGCTGTCTAGTCGTTCGGATGGGACGAAAAACCGAGGTCCCGTGCACATATTGGCGTGCACGTAAACGAACCCTTGGCAGTTGGGAGTCGATATAAGAGTAGGCCGTAGTGCCGCTACCCGGGCAAAATTTCCCTCATAGCACACTGTATGGCGTATGCCCGTCTTCACTAACCAAGTTCAGAGCAGAGCAGTAGGACGTTAAACATCATTTCATTTCATTTCAGGTTAACAGTAGTCCATTCTACACGTTTTTTAATATTATTTATTTGTCTTTTGTGAATCAGCCTTCCAAATTGTTTTGTAGGATATGGTTTTATTTGTGCATTATAAACTGGCACCCGAAACCATAAAATACACGACTTGGGTACAGAATATAAAACGTTAATTGTGTCTTAAATATTGGATATTAGGACCCTATATTTTCACGGCAAGATAACAACATCAATATTGATTGAAATTTACCAATATTGGATTCTACTTCGTGTTTTTAATTTCGAATATTATTGGAAGTATTGAGTTAGAGATTTTGCCCCTTTGGTCTTTTTTAATGTAATTTTGAATGCAGTAGAACGATGGATTTCATCTGAGATTCAACTCCCTATGGTAACTTGTACTTCTAAAACCTATAAGAATACGCGTGTTTTCAATTTTATTTTAGACAAACGTAGGTCTATGGCTAGAGAAGATAGGACTTGATATGTACAAAGAAAACTTCAAGAGAAATCAAATACGAAAACCATATGAGTTACAGATATTGAAAACCTACAGTAGAAAAGAATGTATGAAAGAACTGTCAATATGTAAAGATGGTACGTAATAGTATTAACATTACTTAACGTCATTTTAATAGAATATTGTATGCTTATTAATGATGCATTATGTAAGATTTATATAGAGAGCTGACAGTTCTCGCTATAACAGTTTACAAAAAGATAATGAAAAGGGAATACAGAACAGAGTGGCGTTAAACCCCATTTCATTTGATTTAATGGTTAACATGCTGGATCATATTAAAATTTGAGATAAAATGAATTTATTTCTATTTTTCAGGTCATATCAAAAGGTTGATGTACGCTATATCAAAGCTCAGGAACCCAACAGAAGGCAAGTGGAAATATATAATGATAATACATAAATCACAAAGAAGTTTTCCTCTGGAAAAAGTCGAATTATAAAACAGCTTTCCTAATACATACAATATAGCTTTTTAAGACTTTGAACTTTGATTTCGTGCAACACAATATGTACACTATGTGAAAATTTAAAGTACACGAGAGGTGATATCAGATGGTAGCCTATTTGTAACTACATGTATATTTAAATGAGCACAATTGAATCGCCCTCTCTCTCCACTTTCTCGCCTACTAAATCTTTAACTGTGGTTTCAACCTATTTATTGCAGCTGAGAGACAAGCTAATGAAGTGAAGGCATATATTGAGATGACACCGATTCATTTATTAAAGGAATCAAACGTTGGCGAAAATATTTTCTGGAAGTCTCTTATAGATCAATGTTTGACCCCAGGTCAAGAAGCTTTCAGTATTGAGGTGGAACTTAAAGGTTAAATTTTGTCTAATATCTAATTAGGTTTTAAGTTTATTTTAATTTGTTCAACTCCACTAGACAACACGATATTGGCGCTCATAGGCGTACGGGGAAATTTTTGACTGGGGGGGGGGGGGGGCGGTGCCCCAAAAATGTAGTTAGGTTCTTAGTATGTTACATAATAATCATAATATCTCTTTTGCGATGAATAAGTTCTTAATTTCTAAATCATCAATAAAAGAGAACTAAATTTTATTTACTTGTAATATACACAACAAAAAACAGTTGTTTATGTAACTGTAATTCGTGGCTTACTGTACTCCAAACAATAGAGGGTTCGAGTCTTAAGTCTAACTATATAGACACTCTGAATTTAAATTCGCTGTTAAATTGGACGCATTCAAGAACACAATATTTTTTTATACAACTTTTACAAAGTACAATTGTGTGCTCAAATTTTCCCAGCATTTGGTGCCCAAAATGGGGGGCGGCCGCCCCCCAGCCCCCCCCCCCCCCCAGCTCGTACGCCTATGTTGGCGCTTATACAATACAGACCCAATTGACAAGCGTTAATCGCCGCATGAAATGACCATTTAATAACAAATTAACCATTTTTAAAACCAGAAATGAACATAATTTTTTAAGATACGTATCGATAGTACTATATAAACCGGGAAACCCAGCACGACGCCTTCACCGCTGTCTTGTAATTGTGACTTCAAAAATCAAATTCCGTCAATTAATGCGCAATTGTCCAAGGTAGACGCATTCCAAGTTTCGCTCTAATGGCAGAGCCTTTGGCTTTTTTCGAAGAGAGTCGCCTCAAGAAGAACCAGGCCAAAAACACTGATGAATAGGTCCTGATCCAAAAATCATTTGTAATTTTTCTGAGACTTAACTGGAAGAACATGCGAAACAGACCGGACTAATGAATGACATGAACGACGACAATATTTCTCGGAGTATGAATTAATATAGATTGAAACCGAGGGAAAGATAGGAAGATGGAGTTTAACGTCCACTCGACACGAAGTAGGTCATTTCTGGACTATATTTTCCATTTTATTTCAATAATTGGGTTGCGCGTAGGGGTCTTTAGCAGTGGGAGGACACCAGAGGCAGGGGCCTGGTCATGGTCATTTAGGAGTACGGCCGAGACATTGTGGCGCAAAAATACACATCGATTCCAGCGTAAAAATCACCCTTACCTTTGACTTCCATTTGACCATATTCCTGAAGCAACGATCGCGAATTTTACAAGATGTACGGAGTTATTTCCATCAAGCCTTCTATTAAAGATGCCATTTGACATTGGAAATTGGAAAATTGAATTGAAAACGAAAGATATGGAAAATGAGAATGATTGTTTCATTAAAAATTTACCAATTAGAAAAATACAATGATATGATACGAAAAAAATCCCGATAATCATGAAAACAATATTACGCACTATTCTGATATACAGATTATGACGTCATGATACTCGTTTCATTTCTGACGCAAAAATGATAGCAAAAGTGGCACAAAAGACATCGTCACCAGGCCGCTGACCAGAGGCCCCAGAGAAAACTCATGAGGTTGGAAATGGCGACCAAAATCCTTGTCAGTAATGTCACGTACAAGCTGGGAATCGAAACCCCGCCACTTGAAGAAAATTTATTTAATTGCTACGTGGGACATGTGTAATGGAGTATGTTGGCACCAGGGTTCCATGTCTCTTGAAAATTGGGGGTTGGGTGGCCGAATGGTTAGCACGTGCGCGCTGTATCATAAAGCCTGCCATTGAGTCAACTGGCGTGGTTTCGAATACCCGGTTGTACGTGACAAGGAGTAGGGTCGCCTGTCCAACCTCGTGGGTTTTCTCCGGGTCCTCCGGTTTCCTCCCACTGCTAAAGACCCCTATGCGCAAGCGAATTATTGAAATAAAAATTAAACCATGTGTTAGTCCCGAAATGACCTAGTTTGTGCCGAGTGGACGTTAAACCCCATTCTCTATCTCTCTCTCTCTCTCTCTCTCTCTCTCTCTCTTCAAAATTAACTTGCCGAGCAAATATTTTCTGGCCTAGGTTGTAATGCGGATAATTAATTTTTGTTTTAGATGCACTAAATAATTTACGATCATTATGGTTGATGGTATTAGCGGTTACCAACACTCTATGGTTAATTCTAATATCTACAATGGCTAGTAAAGTCGATTTAACTGTTGTTGGTGCAAACCCAATTGGTAAGTAATGTTACAATATAATCATTTCAACATCTGGTAGAAGAACATGCTATTTCAAATTGGGGGTGAAGCATCTGGGTCATGAGAGTACAAACCCTATCGATATTCCGCGTTCCGCAACCGTTCCGGAGTTACCCGTTTTCTGAAAACCTTTATTAAAAGCGGCATTAGGTAAGATTAGATAAAGAGCTGACAGTTCTCGCTATAATAGTTAAAAAAAACCCAAACCAGGGAATATGTTGAAAGTTTCAGTCAGATAATATCAATCTGAGCCTAGCTATCGGCGATACAATTATACTTAGTCTAGCCTCGATTGTCATTGCTACCATTACGATAATAAACATTTTTACGATAACCGCATCAACCGCAAAACGTATTTAGATATACTTAATATCGGAGCCATCCGATGGCATCGAGAGCTAATTATGATCTTGGTAAGTTAATTAATGTCTAATTAATAATTTATATAACATTTAAGTCGTAAAGAAACACCTGCAGTAGGTAGATTTAGATATCGCGTAATGCCTATTTAAAGAGCACATAAGGTGAAAAACACAAATTGCATGCACATATTAATTCAGCTATCTTCACTCAAAGTAGCAAATAAAGACCTCTCGTAAAAACGACTTTGCAAATTATCGAAAACACTCTTATTATCGAAAAAGCCAGTGACGTTACAGTGTCCAAATGCATATTAGGACTGTTTATTCTTTAATTATCTATATACAGTCGGCGTGTGTATTCATTAACGCCTGACTGATTCCTTAATCCCCTAATTTTATCGAGACTACTTTTTTTTAACTGATTTTCTTTTTCAAATTTGGCGGGAAACAGTAGCCCTGTGAGAAGATTAACCCTATTAATTTTCAAATTTAGTGTGGAAGTATTGGGATTGGAGAGGATTAACCCTGTACAACTTTCTGCTTCAGAGACATAATTTTATTATGTGTCCGGAAAAGCTTGTGAACACGATATAGATTAGATTCATTGAAGACATAAAGGATCCTTAATCCTTATCAAATTTGCTCAACATTCAGGTTTTCGTTTCTGATAATTAATTATGCTGTCTATAATATTCTTTTTTCGTGGCATAGCGGCCATGCGCGTGTATTTCAACGCTTTGTGTGGGTATCTCTAATATAACTAGCTTTCTATATACGTTCGTTTATTTGTTACATGTATATTTGTTGTATTGTATTAATATCATTTTTGTAATTGTGGGCGTTTACATACTTACTTACTTACTTAAAAGCGATGAAAGAGGTTTACTAACAGGTTTTCTTGAGAGAGCAAGTTAGTGTAATCGACCTTCTTCATTATGCATATATATAGCAAAGTGGGCGGTATTTACTTGTGACATCAACATTGGACATTCAACAATGCATATTTGACATTTTAAAAAAAAGTTGATACTACTTTGCTACTAGAACGCCAGTTACGTTAGCAGCTTCCCCTTATGGAATCCATGTACTAGTGCTCAAATATGTCTTTTTTCTATTTGCCTTTCAGTATGTTTGGTATATACCTTTGTGACTGAAATACATTAATAAGTAATACTAAATTATTTTGTTTTCAGGATTGGCTTTCGTAGTGATTTTTGGAATCATATTTGTAATTCAATTCTTGAGTATGTGGGTACATCGCTTTCAAACATTAACTCATTTCTTAGCTAGAGCACCTTATAAATGTGGAAGTCCGTATAGATCCACTTGGACATTTAAAGACATTGATCAGACCGGTGTTCGAGATACTGGTGATATAGAAGCTATTACCAGCTTAAAAGATGCCGAAAGACAAGCAAAGCTAAAACAAATAAAAAGAGCTGAATCTATTAGATCAAATACAAGCTCAACAGAGAAAACCCCCCTCATTGAATCTAGAGTTCTTTAGTATGATATTTGAATTCTTACATTCACCTGAGAAACTTGAAAACGTTTGAATAGAAGGGTTGGAGAAGATCGACAACACGTCCCTGCAACTTTTCATTTATGTGATATAGATATATGTAATATAAATGTAGTTAATTCAATGGAATATAATTTTCCTATGGCTGTGTCAAAATATTTAGGAAGAATGAAACCGAAATATGTGATTGTTTTATTATGGAATAAGAGCAAGTCGCCAACATTTTATTTCAAATAGTGACATTTGACGGTTTGCCCCCCCCCCACCCTGGTCATTTAAAGAAACATTATGCAAGAATTTGATCAGGAGTGGGCCATATGTGCTCTAGATCAATCCTGAATAAAGAAAAATAATTATATTGAAATTTTCAGTCAAATTACTTTCAGTTGTGTAAAGTTATGAGTGTTTGGCGTAGATTGTTCATTATCGTAGCAATGGTACTTGACAATCGAGACTTAAGTCTCGATTATCTATTTTATCGTTTGGCCGCGGTGTTGTAATCTACTCAAAATTGCACATATTCGATTGTTCAGATAGTTGATAATGGGCTTATCATGATAATTTACAGTATATATAACATTTGATGCCAGTAAAAAGAGCAATAGGCAGATTTAGCTCTTACATAATGCATCTTTACTATATTGATTGACGGTTTTATAATATCGTATGTACTAAAATGTACATAAAAGTTAACTTTTGGGTTAAAACTGTTGTTAAAATTGTATAGTTATTAGAATGTCGTGTATGTTTTGAGTAAATATAGCGAATAATAATAATATATATAATGTTCTTACTTACATGTTCCATTGTAGACACAGGTTTATGATTTATTGTGCGTTTGGAATATTTTACATAGGTATACCGTATATATTGTACATGAAAAAGCAGTGACTTGGATTGTTTGTTCCTAACAGCAAATGAGGTTTAATGTTCTACATGTACGTAATTACATCAACAGGGCTAATGAAGACGGGCATATGCCATGCAGTATGCTATGAGGGACCTTTTACCTGGACAGCGGCCTACTCTTTTTTCGAATTCCAACTACCAAGCGTTCTTTTACGAGCAAGCAAACGTGTACACGAGACCCCGGTTTTAGGCCGATTCGAACTACTAGACACCATTCCTTGTCAGACACCTTACAATATAAAAATGAAAGTATGCAATGAGTGATATTTCCTCATTTAGGTGTTGCCTCTTTGATTTTAGATTGGGATTTCTATGAATTACACAAGTAATAGATTGATAAACAACACTGAATAATTTGTTCAGTCTAATTTAATTTTAATGGTTTAATTTTATTTCAATAATTCGCTTGCGCGTAGGGGTCTTTAGCAGTGGGAGGAAACCGGAGGACCCGGAGAAACCCACGAGGCTGGACAGGCGACCCTACTCCTTGTCACGTACAACCGGGGATTCGAAACCACGCCAGTTGACTCAATGACAGGCCTTATGATACAGCACGCACCTGCTAACCATTCGGCCCCCCCCCCCTAAATAAAGAAAAACACAGCCATGAACTTACCAGTAGACACCAGTGAATACTCATTTTGGATGACGTGGTTTTTCACATTTTCGCGGCACACTTAGGAATCAATGATTTATAGGCATAATATTTTCATGTGTTACAATATAATACTTTCACAAACATTTTCCTAGCAGTGATGACAACTAAGACTTTAACAGTCTGTTTCACAGAGGTAATGCGAAAGCCTTCTTTTAACCCTGTGTACGAAGATTGGCCTTTATAAGTTCACACGCATTCTACGTGTGACGTCACATCGCACGGCGTCGATCATGGGTGTCGATAGCGCGTGCATAAACTGGCCGGGGCAGAATAATTGTGCCTTTTACTGATATTTTTACGCCTTTTATTTTATGTATCCATGTACACAAAACAGGAAATATTTTTTTTATTCAGATATACATCAAGCATCTTTATTTATTTATTTACTAATTCCTAAAAAAAAATGTTTTAGAATTTAATTTTCAGAAAGAAAAAAGTTAATAGGCCTACTATGAGCTAATTAACTCGCACCGATGTCATCCTTTTCAGTGATTGTACTGGTCTAGCGAATATTCACTGCTATCAGTTTTAGATTTTGATAGAGTAGTGGTGTTTTTAACGGAACATAACTTGCCTTCAAAGTTAGAAATTCGTGATTTTTAGGATACCGATTTAAGGTAAGACACTTAGTTAAGTGGGAAAATTAATTATTTTCACTTAACTTTAAGAAAACCTTGAATATGGACCTTGTTCTTTGTAGCGGCTGTAGCAGTGAATAAGGCGTTGGCTCGCTAACATTGACCCCCTCCCCTTGTCAGTGGTGCAGGACGGGGGGTGGGGGGGGCTGCAAGAAACAGAGTAGTCGTTCGGATAGGGTCAAAAACCGGGATCCCGTGTACACATTGGCGTGTACGTTAAAAATAACCTTGGCAGTTGGAATTCGAAATAAGAGTAGGACGTAGCGCAGCTGTCCAGGCAAAATTTCCCTTATAGCACACTGCATGACATTTTCCCGTCTTCAGTAGGACGCAAAACCCCATTGCATTTCATATTAATTGTAGTAATATCGTCTTGCGACATTGTTTTTAAATACATAGAGATATAAGCTTGTTTAAACAATATTTGTATCTTTACAAATTATTCTCTATTGTCAGTATATTATCTATGGTATGAGTTTATTTAAAGGACAATATTGGTGCCAGTCATTATCACATATGTGATAGAACTGGTTAAACACGTTCCAAATATTATTTTATCACAGAGATCATTGCTACGATAGAGGCGTAATCAATACTTCAACAATCGGAAATGGATTGTCAGATATCCTTTCACAGTCTCACACAGCAACTTTTGGTCTTCGAAAGAATTATTAGTGGGCAAAAATTCGTCCATGTACTACCCGTCACTTCAATCAGTTATATAGAGGGATAACTCGTGTTTTCCTTTTGCGTTCGTCACTTCCGATTGTTGAAACATTCATTACGCCTCTATCGTAGCAATGATCTCTGTGATAAAATAATATTTGGAACGTGTTTAACCAGTTCTGTCACATATATGATAATGACTGGCACCAATATTGTCCTTTAAAACGCAAATTAATTGTTTATGAAATAGTGTGAGAATAACAGGAAAGAGGGTCTAAGTTCAAGGATAGATTGTGTCAAAAAACATGTGACTGGAAACTTACCTATTGCATCATTTGGTTTAGTTTGACCAATCTGTGTAATTATTTACATCATATTTGACCAATTAGATAATTGAAGGTCCAAAACCCAAAGCTACAAAACTATCATATTGGTGGGCGCTTGTCAGACAACAGCTTGATTCCAGAAGGGGAAAGATGAAACAGTTTCTATCAGCAGACTCGCCAAGTCTGTCTGGCTAGTGTTTGAGAATGACTTTATTCTATTATGCATTGTACAATAACATGTAAGCAGCTATGATATATAAAATGTAAAAACGAACTGTTGCATTTTTATTCCTGGTAAGACAAGCGTCTTAAGAAAACAGTAAGAAGTAAATACACAACGTGAAGGGGGAGCAAATTCTAGACGATCACAAGGCTACTAAAATATGTAGAAAGAAATGATGCATGGGTCATACGTAGGATGTGGCGACCGGAATCAATGGCCCGCTCTCCACGTCTGACGAAAGGCCCATGGTACGTACTACATAATACATTCTTCAGATATGGCTTTTATCTCGCCAAAACGTATGTAATACCAGAGAATAAAAACGGAATAATTGATTTTATTTTATTTAATTTTATTTTACCTTGGCGGATGTATTCTATTTACATAAGAAACAATACATGTAATAACAAATTTAACAGTTCCTCTATTTAAATAAATAAATACACGAAGAGCACTTAATTAAAATTACATACAGAAACAACAGTCATACAGGAGGTATTAACTTGGCAATGCCCCATTTCACTTCTATAGGCTATACATCAGGTTGGCTAACATTATAAACATATTATGTGGACGGATGACTAACCGGCAGTCTAAATAAGAATATTTATTATATATCACAGTTCAACCATTCTTTTCATTCAAAAATGCACGGAAATGCCACCTTTCTACACAAACGATCCTGTAATCTATTGCAATTTATGTATCATGAGGTCACCAAATTGGAGTTAAAAACAGTGGCATTCAGTCTTTTAAACTTGGGTTCCCGGTGAAGATGTTGGACTTTCCAATTTCACTGTCAAACTGTCTTGTTTGGTAAGATTTGGTAAACTGAATGTCGTATTGTTAAAAACCTGAGGCATATCTTGTGGCATCCACGGGTTTTGAGAATAATACATGGGGGGTCCAAAAGGTGGTATTGGATAACCGGAAATTCCACGGTAACCCATTAACGGAAGACACATAGGATTCATCATGTCCATCTGACCGTTCATTCCAAAATAATGAGCGACAGGTGAAACTTTTGCCATTAAACTCACACCCTCTGAAATAGATAATGATATAGGTTATTATAATCTAAATGATAATTATGTATTTCAATCCAAAACAACTTGGGTTTATAACACTATTAATAGAATCAGAGCGATTTCCTTCCAACGACTCCGGAGTACTGTGATGGCGTTAAATCCTACCCCCTTCCTTTGATGTAGAGAATTTCAATGGGGAAATTAATTCTAATACTAAGTGGGGTTTTACGTTTGCTTCCGACTTAGAAGATATCGCGGTTAATAGTGATTTGAATCTGATTAATTCCATAGTTGGGCCTGCTGTTTTGTTATTCTATACTAGTGTTCTACCTTTGCATTTTAAAGAATTGTTGTCAAATATTAAAAAGGAGCTAAACCTCCTTGATTTACGTCAATGTATTATGTATTATGTACTGGGTAGATTGCATGCGTCATTTTGATTAGTGATAGGGAGGCTATATTTTTGCTTCGAAATAGTAAACGAGAATCAGTTTGCTAACTAATTATAATTTCATTTTTGACTAATTGTGTCGAAGGTGGAACACACAATCCAATAAACCAAATGAAAATATAAAATTCATTGAAATCGACAAGTTAAATTTTGATGTAACCTACCTGGTGAAGTGGTAGGCGAACTTGAAGGAGAACTAACAGATGAGCTGGGGCTTTTGCTATTGGAATGTTCAACTCGACATCGCTTAGAAGGTTGATTCAAGATCGATTCTTGCGTATCTAAAAAAAAATAAAAAATAAAAAAATAAAAAATTGGTTAAATATAAATTAGAGTTAAACTAAAAATGGAATGGAACGCAGGATATGAAATTTAACACAGAAGATGGACCCTTAACACAGAAGGCGTTATAAGTACGTGTTCAATTATTTGAAAGCTGTTAATGAGGCTTTGGTGTTAAGTCAAACCTATCATTAAGTACATTATGTCTCTTTATATTACATAACTATTGATATATGTTATATATTGCTTATGTTTATTAGAATTGTGGAGCAGGGAAGGGGATCTAGTGGTTTAACGCGTGTGCGGCGTAAAATCACAAGGTCTGTCATTGAGACGTGGCGTGATTTCGATTCCCCGATCCCCTAACGCGACGAAAAGATTATTTCATATCCTTTTGAATGGCACGCATGTGTAACACACAATTAAACGGTCTGTAATTAATACAAGAATAATTACATGATATCTGATCACATACGAAATCTATTCAGTTCCGAATGACATACAATGCGCGGAAATGACATATAACGGCGGGGAATTGTTATAACAAGTGAAATCACCGGATTAAGTAGAACCGCGGGTCCCCATGACCGCTTTTGTATACGTGACAAGGAGTAGTGTCTCCTGTCCAAAATAGTGGGTTTTCTCTGGATTTGTCCGGTTTCCTACCACAGCTAAAGACCCTTACGCGCAAGCGAATTATTGAAATAAAATTGAACCATATGTTAGTCTAAAATGGTCTAGTTTGTGTCGACTGAACGTTAAACCCCATTTCTCTCACTCTTTATTAAAATTGTACACATTATTGATTTGTATTAATACTTACTTGTAATTTTTTTATTAGACAGCGAACGGTTGCTTCTTCCTGAAGTTTTATCTCGGGATCTTGAAGAAAGAATACACAATTATAAATTCAGAATAACCCTTGCACATAGTTGTACAATATTTGCAAATAAATTAATAAAAATTTGTATGATACTGTAAAAATATTGTCATTTCAGTAAATAGTGCTGCAAAAAATCTGCTAAATACCCCTACTCGCCTGTAAAATCTCGTAGGGTTTCCCCGGGTCTTCCGGTTTCCTCCCACTACTAAAGACCCCTATGCAGACGCGAATTACTGAAATAAAGTTGAACCAAATGTTAATCCCGAAATGACCTAGTTTGTGTCGAGTGAAAGTTAAACCCCATTCTTTTTTTCTCTCTCCACAGAAAAATGCTGTCAATTCAAAATACTGCAATTTATTTTCATTTAAATAAATGATACTGCAAATCACTGTCGACTACTTACGATATTCGAGGATACCTGAATGCTTTTGCAAATGGATTATTGTGAATCTTAAGTTGTATAATCGTCTCATTTTGGTAGGCTGTTACCGCAAAAAATTCAGTTTCATCAAAAGGTATAACTATCCTATCGCCTAAACCTTTGCCATCGGCACCAGCTGGTTCTATTATTATCTTTGCCATGTATTTATGCATGGAATGTAAAACAATCTGAAAAAAGACAAATTCAACATGTTTCTTATTTAGATTTTTAAAAAAAAACCAACACAAATAGCACCAAAGGTTATAAGAATTTAATATTCTGTTTGATGGTCCTCATTGGTTTTCACAGAATTCTCACATGTCCTAAAGATCAAGGTATGCTAGCAAGTTATGCCAATACAGAGATATAATTATGGCCTAGTCACCATTCACTACAAAAGAAAGTTACCAAGTAGAGAACAACACCAAGAACCAGACCTATTCAACACGTATTGTTATTTGACAGACTTGGTTTTGCGCGGATGCGTGAAAGATTTTATGAAAATCATACAAAAATAGAAATAAAGTTTCAATCTAGATGAAAATTAATGGCTAAAATTTGTTAAACTCACCGAGCCTTCATTTGAATCTTTGTAGTTGGTTAGTTTAACTTTGGCAAACGACACTTTTCTCATCCAAAAGGCACCAATATTAGGCGAGTCATGATGAATAACTGGCGGATTTGGTTCCATGGGATCAGCACCGCCCACAGGTATCCATCTGTTACTGATAAACTTATAGCGCTTATTATCTGCTGAACAAACTTCTAAAAGTATATTGTAAAGTTGCGTTGGATTCAAACCCTCGATTGACAAATCAAGATGTGGAAACATCCGTCTGAAAGGAAAGATGATAAATAAGATTTAATTTAATTGATAAATGAAAACGATACCCCGACCCTACTCTTCCCTTTTTGGATACGCGTCGAATCTTACAGAAATTAATTATTGTCAAAACTTAGAGCGGCATTCATTAAGATTAGATAAAGAGCTGACAGTTCTCGCTATAATAATTTAAAAAGGAGAATTTTTATGTTGAAAATTTCAGTCAAATTACTTCACTCTCAGCCAAGCCTTCGATGATACAATTATAGTCTAGCCATAGAAATATATACAGTATCTATTTCTATGGTCTAGTCTCGATTGTCATTACTACCGTTGTTACGATGATAAACAAAGTCGCGGTTATCCATTCACTGTAACGGCATCAACAAAACATCGAGAGTTGATTATGGACTTGGTAAGTTAATTTAATGTCTAATTAATATAATTTATAACCTGCAATAAGCAATGGGCAGATTTAGCTCTTGCATAATGTATGTTTAAACAGCATTATCCATAATACATTGACGATGATGTTGACCAAAACAGAATCTTTCGCCCGAAATATTAAAGGTTGGGGTAAGAATACAATCAGATATTTTCTATTAATGAAAATGATTTGTAAAAGCAATTACCTGCCATTTCGGTTGATAATCATCTCTGTGCCGTGGTGGCCGAAAGTTTGCCAAAGACACGGTTCGTGTAATGTAACGGTGATGTCACCAACTGTTTTACGTATCGGCTTAGTAGTTGATGGGTCCATTTCAAGTGATTCTACACTTTCGTGTTGAAGTCCATTTGGCGACAACTGAGTTGGCACGGAATTTATTGGTAGTTTGAACGACTCTTTTCTGGTATCTTTTATGATTACTGGTGGGTACCCACGATCTGAATAACTTGGTGAAATTTCACCAGAAACATCATGCTTTCCATCCGAATGATAGCTCGACTCGCTGTGGTGATCATCTTGTGTGACACATGGCCGACCAGGTATAGATAAATCCAAAGGCTGTAAAGTAAAAATGGTAGATAATTTAGTTTCGTTTGTTTTTCGAGTTTTTGCCTTAAAGGTACATTATGTAAGATTTAGATAAAGAGCTTGTCATTCTTGCTATAATAGCTCAAAAATAGATAATGTAAAATAAAAATATTAAAGATTTTGTTAACATTTTGTAGTTTCGACAAGATGTATGCATTGTGGTAACTAGGGCACTGGTATATTCGAGACTTAGCCTCGCTTTCCCATTTTTAAATTAAATTTTTAAATGGTGAACCCGTCTAATCTAGTTAAAATCTCGAGTATCCGATGCCATCGAGAGTAATGTTGATTATGTTATTGTTTTGTTAATAAATGTCTCATTAATAGTTTAGACAATATTTCGGGCCTAAAACCCGGAATAGGCAGATTTAAAAATCTCTATTATTTTTTTACGATTACGATTTCAACTATAGGAATATATTTTATTACGAAGCACTGAAATTCTTTTTTCCCCCTTAAGCCTACAATAACACCACATTGTCACTCGCCAAACTTCCTAATCTCTAAACCATATCCAAACTATGAGATTTGTGGCTATCGCATAACAAAGCATCGCTCATCCTAATCTCTAAATAAACCCATCGAAACACCTGAATTTTTTTAAAGACAATTTCAGCATTTTCATTCCTAATCTCTAAATAAACCCATCGAAACACCTGAATTTTTTTAAAGACAATTTCAGCATTTTCATTACTGATCTCTAAATCATGTCCTAAATTTCCAATCTTTTTCTTTTTACCAATTTCTACAATCTGAATACGAAGCATTGCACTTTCTAATCTTTAAATCATATCCAAAATTTCCATTAATTTTTTCACAATTTCGGCAATCTTATAATGAAGCATCGCACTTTTTAATCTTTAAATCAAATCATGTCCAAAGAAAAAATCTCCAATCTTGTTTTACGTTTTACGAAGCATTACGAAGATTTCCTATATAAATCTTACCTCATTCATATCCATTGTCGTGGGCATATTTAACAGATCGTTGAATACTGATAATTGACGGCAGCTGATGTATAGATGTTTCAAGTTGCAGGGTAAGATGTTTTCTGTGGACAAATCATTTGATACATGGTGGTAAAGTCATATGGCGGACGATTGCAAGAAGAGATTGGTTAATTGATGCCACCGACATGTTCACACCTTTGCAAGTGTGAACACAATAACAATGGAGTAACCAGAACTCGCTAAGGGTTAGTTATTACACTGATGTTTAATGAGAACTATGAAATAACACAACATGCAACAGTTCTTCAACATGTGACAAATCTATCTGGGATTACCGATAACATAAAGATAGATGATCACCATAAGGCCAAACCAATCAAATAACTCAATACCATATAGTATATTAACACCAGTAATAATTTTCCAACACTATCTAGATAAACAGGTTGGGGTGTTGGGGGTCTTCCGAGGGGGATGGGGCTAAGGTGCAAGAGAAGGAGTCTCTACCGCGTTGTGGCTGAAGAGGTTCCGGGGTCCTCCATCGAGACAATCTTTGAAACCCTGTTGCAGAGACGATGAAGTCTGGCGTTTTTTGACCAACAACATTCATTTTTTTTATGAAATTAATGTTATGCAGAGAGGTATTCTATATATTCCCAGGGTCATTTAGCAGCGCATAAAACGTCAATGGTCGTGTAATTAAGATGTAATAGCCGCTTCGACTTTATTAGTTTCTGAAATAAATAGAATTTGCATAGAGCCATTAGTCAGATAACGACCTCTTTCTTATCTTATCACCGACAAATATATCCATTTCCCTTGCTATATTTCTTATACAGAACTTTTATCTCGAGATAACCGAAAAAAAGAAAATGGCCTAAGATTATGCTCACATCAAGCTAGGATCAACGTATTTAGCACATATTACGAGGTCAGTGTTCACACCGTTTTCCAATCTCGTCCTATAAGTTCAACAAAACAATAGTGATTATTAATTAACGCTAGCATATAATGACCGTAGTTGTTATCGCACCTACGCGACAAGTGTGAGCAGAACAAAGGTTTTACCAATATTAAAAGGTCGTGACCAGGGTTTGTCAAGTTAATACTTAATAATGGTTTACTAATGACAATACAGCTACATCCTGTTATAATCCAGATGTCTCTCTATTATCACCTCTGATTAATATGGCGCATTAATGAGAATATATCAACAGTTTTAATAGGTCTGAATACATTTAATAATCATGACGTCAAATTAAACTTCGTCAACCTAATTGCTTGACAGATATCAGCTCCTGGAGATTTAATATTGTTGTTAATAATAATATAACATGGTTAATCCTCTACTGACTTGTCGTCTGCGATGTCACTTCGGTGGCAATGGTTGTGAAATACTGTACGTTAAACACGCACACACACGTTGACATTAATTGACCGAACTGATTTATCAAATATAATGATTAAAACGGATTACTAATAGGCTAGATTATGTTTTCTTGCATGTTACATTGGTAGTTGCATGATGCGTATTATTATATTGATAACGAAAAAATATTTTTTACTATACGCAAATGCAGTATCGGAAACTGAATTCTACGTTTTGATTGAATTTGATTTTCAAAATTATCAGTGACGCCAATCTATGGTACCTTTAGTGTCAGTATGGTCACACCATGACCAATTTTAATAACCGGAACAATATGGAAGGGCATCGCTGCCAATATTAAATGCTCTGCTACAGTGTCTTTTTCATTGATTATATGTAAAAAGTACAATGTACAAAGTCAAAATACCTCTAAGGAAGAGTTAAATGTAAAACGACAAATGTTATGTGTTAAATGACAAATGTTTTGTGGGAAAATGCTTTTTTTGACGTGTCTACATTTTACATTTCTCTCATTACATTTTACATTTGCGCTCTGCCACATCCCATTTGTCCATCACGCTTTCTATATAGCATTTTCCCACGGCATCAACTTTGATAGTTAGTCGACTATCCGTTATATTGCAGAATCTACCACATTGTTTGATACCATTGGCGAACATGTATAGGCACCCACCCCATGTTCCCGTTAACAGCAGCATTTGGGGAGTATCTGCCTACTCCAAGGCAATATCTGCACGCTCTATTCTGAACAGCCGTCACACAACTAAATTCCCGGTCACCCCAGATCGCAGCACCGTAACTAATAATTGGTTATATTAAGTTATTATACAATTTAGTAAACGTATTATAAGGAAGTCCACCCATACACTTTGCTTTGGCAATAAGTAAACCCAGGGCTAGGGCAGCAGACTTGGCTACATGTTTGGCCATATAAGTATAGTCTAGATGCTCGGTTAGAAAATACCTAAATATACATAATTACTTTCTATGGAAGTGTTAGTTGTGCCACAGGTAAACTTAAATAAAGTCTGTGGAATTGATGCTGTACGAAAGTGTATATATACAATGCACGATTTGTTTGTATTAATAACCATCTTATTTCTTGACCTAGCATAAAGTATCTAATAATAACTGCAGGTCATTTTCGTTTTCAGCTATTTAGATTTTTTGCTACGGGGATTTGATGTTGACTGGGATAAAATCTCACTTCCGACACACTGATTGCTCTGCAGAAAAACACTTTACACCCTTATCCCTCCGCTGTAAAATCATCTGTCTTACCCAAAACTGCTATGAAATTGCAAATTTGATCCCCTTTCTCCAATTCTAGACCAAAAAGTCAACCCAAAAATGCAGGAAGAGGGGAGAAAAAAATGAAGGGAAAAATTGTCTATTTATAACTCGCACTATATTCGTACATGAAATAAGGGGAAATAATTACTAGTCTTATTCCATTTAATATCAAACCACTCTGTAGTAAGACCATTTAATC